TATAATTCCCTGAATATTTTCCCCTTCTGCTTATATATTTTCCCACTGTCCTCCAAAATTAATTATTTAAAAGAACCGAATGACGGAAACACCATACTTATAGTCAAAAATATTAGAAATATTTCAGCCTCTATATTATCTGAATTTCCAAATTTGAATTCGGCTATAAATCCGGGAGGAAAAAGTATTAGAATAGTGAGTTGAACGATTACACATTATTGGAAATTATAATATATATATATATATATAAGAATTCACATATCCTAAAAATTTATCATCGCGGTCACTTGATTTCTTCTCAAATTATAGAATATATGTCGGACCATGAAAATTCTGTTATTGGAATAAAAATAAATCAAGGAGAAGAAAAAAAAGCTATTAACGTGATTTAGTCTGCAAATATGTCATGTAAATTATCTCAATATGATTTTCACAAATCTTATTCCGGAAATGACAAGTGGCTACTTCGTCGAATTATATTTCAAATATAAATTCATGGGAAAAAACCTAATTATCTAATATGGCGGAGCAGAGGATATATATATATATATATATATATATATGGAGTTGTTAAGTAATTATACAAATGCAACGACGGACCAAGGAAAAGACAAATATGAGGCCCAGAAGCTTTGAATGGGAGATAAATAATAGAGGACATTCATTTATGTAAAATATAAATTAATATATTTATTTATAAAAAGTTAAAAAAAGAAAAAAAAAAGATTCGGACAAAATCTACAGATGAAAATCATGCCCTGACTGGCTGCCGCTGGATTCATGCAATTGCAATGTGTTGTTGCTACCCACTTGGCTTCTGGTTCCAACGTCATGTATACTCTATACATATATATATACACACACACACACACATACGTACATATATATATAAGTGTTTAAGACAAATATTAATATATACTCTCAAAGTGAAAAAAGGGTAAAAGAATAATGTATTGGAGTATTTAGAAAAACTAATATATATACGTTGTTTATTATAAGATCTAGAGAGTAATTTAAAGTGCAATTAAACATTGGTATATTATTTTTACAAATAAATAGTTTCAATCACATTTTCATCTATATATTGGTGTGAAAAAATCTGTCAGAAAATGACAAATTCTGAAACTGTATCTCCTCATTTGTCATCGAAATTCAAGACTGTAGATCTAAGAGAAAAGAACAAAGAATGAATACGAAAGGAACAGTATATACATGATTATATATATATATAATATATAATATATATATATATGAGATTGAGAATAAGAATGGAAATGAAAAAACGAGGAACGGATAGATCTAGATTTAATTGGAACGAATTATTATAAATGATTTAGATATATTGCAAATATGAGAGAAAATGACACAAACCGAAATAGACTCATTTTTGTATCGAATATGACATAAATTTATTTATTTTTTTATTTTTTATGTAGATGATAAATTAAATTAAATTAAAAAAATTGGAAGGGAGGATGCAATGCATGTGATGAAGTTTGAGAGCGATGGAGACAAAATCCACATGCCATTGCCAAAGCCTTTCCCTAATGACCATTTCCCTCTTTTCCTTTATGTTTTCCCCTCAATTCTCCAATGTATGAAAAACTCATCCTCAACTGTTTTCTCTCCCCACCCCATTTATTGTTTTTCTTTCATTAATACCTAATTTTGTTTTTTAGTTTCAGATTCTCAATTCAAAAATATTTATTGCAAAATTATAAAATTTTTAAATACTATTAAAATACATCTAAATCTATCATTTTTTCTGTATTTAAAAATTTAGACTATGGATAGTGATCGATGTTATATATGGTAAATATTAGATACATATTTCGAATTTAATTTATAAAATCAAAATAAATAGAAACAAATAATACATAACCATATTTATACTTTGATATAAAAATGTTAAATATCTATCTTTAAAAACTATATTAGCTAAATCTTAACAAAATCCAATTAAGATATAAGATACAAATTAAAATAAACTTTTTTTTTACATTTTGATAAAACTTGAATTTTGATTGGATAAAAGGTTAAGCGGAATTGAGTTTTGACCAACATTTGTTATTTTTAATGAAGATTAATAATTACATCAGTAGCTCATTTTAATCAATGATCAGTTTATTTAGATGATAATATATATGAAAATATTTACAAATTATTCTTTCTTTTTTTTGCCCATGTGATTTTCTTATTGTTTAATTTACTTAGGCTGCTCCCTTTTTGCTGCTTAGATGCAAGTTTCAATTTTTTAATTAAATAAAATAACTTGTTTTTTCCTCTCATCTCTTTATTTAAATTTAATTGAAGGGAAAATCCCAAAAAAACACTGAAATTTACAATTTTGACAAAAAAACATTAAACTTTAGTTTTTGTCAAATAAACATTAAACTTTTTAAACTAGTCTAAAAAAACACTGAACTTTTTAAATAATCCAAAAAATACATAAATTTTTCTGTGATTATCAAAAAAGCACTGAATTTTTTTAGTAATCCAAAAAAATACATGAACTTTTTCCGATTGTAAAAAAAAACTAAGTAAAATAATCTAACGTGTTTGCATCTAATTGGGCCACGTCATTCATTTTGTTTATTTTGACAATCGTAGAAGAGTTAACTGTTTATTTTGTCAAATTTAAAAGTTTAATGTTTATTTGATAAAATAAAAAGTTCAGTATTTTTTTTATCAAAATTGTAAAGTTCAGTATTTTTTTTGGAATTTTTTCTTAATTTAATAAAGCAACCTCCCAAATGTTTTATGTTCCAATGGAAATCATGCTTTATTGTAATTTCCTCTAACATGTAACAGATAGCTATTTGCATCAAACATTTCAAATTCAAATTAAATTACGTAGTGATTTTTTTAATATTTTTTTAATATAATAAAACTGCTGTGAATTGCAAAAAGTATTTGCAAGCTGGTTTGAAAGAACCCCAAAATATTTCGTACATTTATATATAAATAAATAATAAAATATTTGTCTTCTATTGAATCCCATCAGACCCCATGAAGACCCCGTCGTCGAAAGGCCGCTCTATAATTTATTAAAAAAAATATATAATAAGAGGCTTTAATTTCTTTTTTTCCACAGTAGAATGCATAATATTTATAATGTCTCATCTACACAAGCCATGTTTGCTCATAAAAGAATTTTATGGACATAAAATATATATTAGAAAAAATCTCTCAAAAAAATATCTAAACTTATCAATTTTTATAAAATAAATTTTGAATTTTTTTTACCAAATAAAATCTTAACCTGATTTTTGAGTTATAAATAAACTTAAACTTTATAAAAGTTTAATATATGGATAATTACGTGATACATATGATCAAAATATTGATTTGTCATATAAAATATCCATACGTAATATCAGTTTTTAGGTTAAAAAATAACAGAAATTATAGAATTTATATTTATTTTGACCGAAAAATAAAATTGAATTTTTATTTGATAAAAAAACAAACTTTAAGTTTTGTTCGGTGAAAATTGACAAATTCATATATTTTTTTGGGATTTTTTTTGTATATTAAAACCTCTTACATGTTATTTCACCGTATATTTTATAATAAAAATATGTTGAAAAAAAACATCAAACACATATCTGTTCATTATATATTTCAATATTTTAAATTAATATCCAAGATTAAATGAGTCAACTGATAATAAATGGATAAAATTTATTTCCAATCCAAATTTGAATCTCCACTTGGAAAAGAACACTATTTGCACTTTTTTACTCTTCCTGAAGATATAATTAGGCTGAAGATTCGTTAAACTACCAAATTAAAAAAAAAAAATTAATTACATGGTAATTCAACATATCTATTAATTCTCGTTCTTCTTCGTCTTAATTCGACACACATTCAATAACTATTTTCAGATCCGTAATCCATCAGATAATGCTAGATTTGTAATTTATATATATATATATATATGGTGTCGGATATATGTAAAAAAATATTGTGCTATGTGAGGGATGGAGCATGGAGGAGTGCGCAAAAGCTTTAGGGCCAAAATTGGCGGAGAGAGCCAACAAAAGCGGCAATTTGCTCCGACAATAAAGTTATTTAACAAAAATAATAAAATAAAAGACATGATTTATAAGAGCGAGGTTGTGAATATATATATATGTGTATATATATATATATATAGTATTTAATAATAATAAAAATAGATGAAAAGATTTGGGCCAGACGTAAATAGAAGCTACGTGGCTGGTGACGAAGGAAGAGAGCAGGGAGAGACACATGGAGGCATCACTATGGTGGCCGACAATTTTAAAATTTTAATTAATTTTATTTAAACTCCCCATACCATTTCATATATTTTTTTTTATTATTTACCCTCATTTTTTTTAACCTTGCTTAATGTCTCTAAGCGAAATTTATCTTGGACCCTTATTATGATTTTAGGCTTTTAGTCTATTGGGATCGAATGAAATACAATATTTAAAATAAGATAAAATCTATAAAAATTTCTAAATTTCCAAAACGGTGAAAAATTAATTTTTAAATTATTTTATATACCAACATCGTTGAAATTTTTTCTACCACCAATTAATAATTTTAAAAATTATAATGATATATTTTACTAGTTTAAAAATTATAATGATATATTTTATAAATTTAAAAATAAATTTGTTAAATGAGAGTTTATAAATTTATTTTTCACCGTTTTATAAATTTAGAAGTTTTTATAGATTTTACGCTAATTAAAATATTACTTGATTATTTTCGTTCAATGTTAGAAAATAAATCTAAAAACACGGATTGGTCCACCCTGACTAGAACCTAAGGAGAGATGAAAGAGTGAACGAAAAGAGAATCGTCCGAGAAACTTCAACTCAATAATTTTTTTTTTTTGAAAAAATAGAAAAAGATATGGATTTTTTTATATAAAGGGAACGACTTTTTTTTTTTTAAATCCAAAAACAATCTAAAAGAAAAGGAAAAAAATAGCCCTATATATAAACCCCCAAACCCTCATCAGTTCATCATCTCTCTCTCTCTCTCTCTCTCTCTCTCTCTCTCTCTCTCTCTCTCAGCCATGGCTTCTTCTTCGTCTTCTTCATGGAACCTTCTCCGTTTCTTGAGCGCTGCTCTCATGGTATCGACAGCAATGGCGGCTGTTCCACGAAGACCTGTGAACGTCCCCTTTGGCAGAAACTACATGCCCACTTGGGCTTTTGACCACATCAAGTACATCAATGGCGGTTCTGAAATCCAGCTCGTCCTCGACAAATACACCGGTACATACACATATACATACATCGACCGGTTTCACGTGTTAATACATATATCTTTTTAGGGGGTATAGTTTTATAGCACTTATTTTGGGGACAATGGGTCTCAAAACTTGCATTTGTTTACTTTTGATTCTTAAAACCATTTGCTGTATATATATATATATGTATGTGTGTGTGTGTGTATAAATATATATTACAGAGAAATCTTGAAGTGTATATTTTTTGAAAACAATTAGTACATTTTATAATAATCTTCATTCGAACTTGTAAAGATTTATTAGTTTAATCAGAGGCCAGATCTAATCTTGTATCCAACTCCTCGAAAGGATTAAAAAACCCTAGTAAATGGGTACTATTTTTTATTAATTAGGTTTTTCGATATCTGTTTAATTTTTATTCAGTTTAAATATTTTTTTTTAAAAAAAAAAAAACAGGAACTGGGTTTCAATCGAAAGGCTCCTACTTGTTCGGTCACTTCAGCATGAAAATAAAGCTGCCGCCTGGTGATACGGCCGGAGTCGTCACTGCTTTCTATGTAAGTCACTGTCACATATACATACACAAATACACACATATATATATATATAGGTATTTTATTTATAAAAAATCAAATAATTAATAATAATAATTTTAAAAAAAACAACAACAACAGCTGTCGTCGACGAACAACGAGCACGACGAGATAGACTTCGAGTTTCTGGGGAACAGAACAGGGCAGCCTCCGATACTGCAGACGAATGTCTTCACCGGAGGGAAAGGAGACAGAGAGCAGCGTATCTATCTCTGGTTCGACCCTTCCCAAGCTTACCACACCTACTCCGTCCTCTGGAACATGTATCAGATCGTGTATGTCTCTCTCTCTCTATACATATATATCTGTACATATACGCCTACCCTTTACACGGAATGGAGAAAAGATGCTGAATTTAAAGATGAGCTTCAAAAAATTTTTACCATGGGGAAGAAAAGATTCGAGCTTTTTGGGTGAAACGTGTATATATTCATTGGGTATTACTCGAAATAGTGAAAAAGATGTGGAATTTATATGAATTTTGAGAGAGAGATTCAAGCTTTTTCAGTGAGAGAATGTCTCAGGAGTTCCAAGAAGATTGGTCGAATCGTTTTTTTTTTCCTTTCTAGTACAAAAAAAAAATTGGAAATACTTTTTTTTAACGGGCAATTAAAGAAGGTACCTGCAACGAATTTAATTGAAGATCCGTAAAAAAAATGATTTTTTTTTTACTTCATTTGTTTTTGGAAAATTCATATTTTATCCTCTACTGTAAATTTTTACTTTTTTTTGCATATTTTTTTAACGACGGAGTTTGAAATTTTTTTAAAACAAATTATTTGAAAAACCTTTATAAATTCACATCAAATTCAATTTTTTTTTTTTTTATAATCACATCAAATTCAAATTTTAGGCCAAAGTGACGAACAACTGGAAAGGGTAAAATAGGAATCTCAAGTATCTGTATAGTAGATTCAATGCATAATGTTCTAAAGACGGTTTCAAAATTTTCAAAAAGGGCTTTAATTTGCATCGGGAATTTTTTTTTAACCAAGCCATTTTTCAAATGTGGGGTCCATATGTACCAAATGCTAACCAAACCGTCAAAGTCACTAAACCGGTCCGGTTTACACATCCTCTTCTAAAACCAGGTTCTTTGTGGATGACGTACCGATCCGAGTGTTCAAGAACTGCAAGGATTTAGGAGTCCGGTTCCCATTCAATCAACCGATGAAGATCTACTCGAGCCTCTGGAACGCCGACGATTGGGCCACGAGGGGCGGTTTAGAGAAAACCAATTGGGCGAACGCTCCGTTCATCGCTCAGTACCAAGGGTTCCATGTCGACGGATGCCAGGCCTCGGTAGAGGCGAAATTCTGCGCCACGCAGGGCCGGATGTGGTGGGATCAAAACGAATTCCGCGATCTCGATGCGTACCAATGGCGTCGGTTAAGTTGGGTGAGGCAGAAATGGACAATCTACAATTATTGTACCGACCGGTCCAGGAACCCGGTTATGCCGCCTGAGTGTAAAAGGGACAGGGACGTGTGAGAGAGTTTGGTGAGAGATCTCTTGGCGGATGATAATGATCTATTGTTGTTGTTGAAGAGATTTTATTATATGTTTGCTTGTATGTGATGTTTTTATGCTTAATGTTGTATGATGTTTACTTATGTTCATCATCATGATGATGATGATGATTGATGATGATGGTGGGCATATTGTTTATTCTTGATTTTATATGATAATGAAAAAGCGATGGTGATGGGTGTATAATTTTATTTTTTATTTGTCAAGCGTACAAAACCTTATGGACCAATGAATTTGTTATGTCAATAATTATTTTTCATTCATTTTACTAATAATTGGTTTTATTCTTTTAAAAAAATTTAAATTCACTTTACCAAAAAAAAAAAAATTAAAATTCAGTACTTTGAGCTGGTTCCGACATTAGTTACATATCATACAACTTAATTTAATTAGTTCTGACCTTTTTAATCTTGGTTAACTAATCACTAACATTAAATTTCAAAACATTCTAAATTAAATTTAAATCGAATCAAACAAAATTGATATGATAGATTTTACCTTTTGGTTTTTAGTTTTTGTAATATTTATAAATCCAAAAAAATAGAGTTTTTTGTTTGTTAACTAATTTTTCACTAAAATAGTTTTCCAAGTTTTTAGTAAAACTAAATTTACAAAATCCTAATTATCAATTTTTTGTTTTTGTTTTCGGATTCTAAAAAATCCAAAAATCTTTCCATTCATTTTACTTCAAACGGAATATTTCCAACACAAATTATCTTAATTAATCCAACTAACTTCGATTTCTTCACACACACACACACAAATTATATATATATATATATATAACCGGTGGATCATAACCAATGTACGTGGTCGGAAACCGACAATATTCCAAACCAGATCAGTCACGAGACGCAACAAAACAAAAAAGCGACACCAAAACTCACAGCTTCTCCTCCTTCCCCCTCCACCCACCTTTCTCTTCTCCCTTATTTTCAGAGTTTCAGCAAAACCAAGCTTCTTCAGTTTCCGAGATTTTTGTTTCTGGGTTTTTTTTTAATTATCATTTTCAGAGCTTTTGGCGTCTCCATCAATGGCGGCTTTGGTGAAACTCCTCACAGCGCTCTGTTTCTTCTCTGTTTCCATCTCCGCACTCAACATCGGTGTTCAGCTCACAGATCCCTCTGTTACGCTGGTTAGTTCTTTTTTCAATCGGTATGTGAGATTCCGGTTCGGTTTACGATCCGGTTAACGGGTTTGTAAAGTCGAATCCAGCATACCGGAATTTTACGTACGATCCATGGCCTTATACCATCAGAACGGTTTAGTTACGCCTTTTCATCGTTCAGATCTGAGATAACGGGTAAATTTCAACGATCAAAATGCTGTAAACCGGAGAAAACCGGTTATTGAAATGGATTCGGTAGAGAAACCGTCTGTGGTTTATGACCGGTTCTTTTCCTCATTAGCTTGTATTTTATTAATCTCTCACAATTTGAATCTCCAAACTGAAATCCCGAATCTTTATTTATGCAGCAAAAAGAATGCAGTCGAAAATGTGAGTCGGAGTTCTGCAAAGGTACGTAATCCCATTTATACGTTTCATATATGTATGTGAATATATATACACATATACAAAATTTGTACGGTCTATACGGAATGTATATTCACCGTATGCATATGTGTATATATGTATTAGTGCCTCCATTATTGAGGTACGGAAAGTACTGTGGACTTCTATACAGTGGATGCGTAGGAGAGAGACCGTGCGATGGTCTCGACGCTTGTTGCATGAAGCATGACGCTTGTGTTCAATCCAAAAACAGTAAGCATAATTTCTCTCTTTATAATCCAATTGTTTTTTTAATAAAAAAATCGATCGAATTATATTTGCTTTAGCTAAAGAACTTTTGGCGTTTATAATCATTCGATCCAAAATCGCAAATGCTAGATGACTAGTGAAGTGAATGAGCCTGATCCATTTGTAAGCCTACAAATTTGAAATTATACGATATTTTTGGTATGTACACCTTATATAATTAATATAAATAACTAAACTATAGAGATAAAATCAAATATGGTATTATGGTATTTCAAGATATTCTTAGTACATTCTTCTGTTAAATATTAAATAAGTGTAATGTGTATGAGTTTGGACCGATGTAGCAAGGGGTGTCAATCGGGCCGACTCGACTCGACCTAGTCCGAGTCCGCACTCGGTCCGAGGATTTCGGGTTCAGAATCGGATCGGCCCGATTTTTTTTGGTTCTATATAATTAAACTCAAATCTCTACCCTATAAATTTCGGATTTGGATCAGGTCGGATCGGGCCGGACCGAGCCAAAAAATTTAGGTCTTAAGCCCGATTTTTTCGGGTGGATTTGGGTCGGACTTTGGACCTAATTTGACATCATTGGATGTAACCAACCATCTAGATAGGTATAATTAGAATAATATTCTTTTAATATTGCATTAGTGTGATCAATATGTTTTTAATTAAGCCAAAGATTGAGTGTGAGTGACTGAGCAAAGTTCATTCCTAACTCACGTCTGATTCTTCATTTGGGAAAAAACATTCACGTGTGCGCTTCTCCGATATTTTGAGAGATATAATTGGATTAAATATTCAGTAAACTTATGAATTATAAAAACAAAACAAGGTTTTAACTTAACTAATCACATTTCTAGACGAAGATTAGGTTAAAAAAAAATATATATTGTACGGGTAATCAAGCTATATATAGATATAACACATTGATGAATGATGATGGTGATGGTGCAGATGATTATTTGAGCCAAGAATGCAGCGAGAGATTCATAAACTGTATGAGCAATTTTAGAGATACGAATCAGCCTACCTTCAGTGGCAACAAATGCGATTCCGACGAGGTCATTGACGTCATCTCCGTCGTCATGGAAGCCGCTCTCCTAGCCGGAAGGTTCCTCCGCAAACCCTAATCTCTCCCATCTTCCTCTATTTGTGTGTTTTTTTTCCTTTCTATTTTAATGCATGTTTTTTTTTTCTTCATCCTGTTTTCTATTTTTTGTGTTGGATATTTTGGGTTTTTATGGAAATTAATGAAATAATCATGCCTCTGTAATTTTAATGTCTGAAATTACCTGGCGCCTGCAGAAAAGAATCTGTAATTTTAATTAGATTATATATATAAATTTGCAAGGCTAATATAATGCGTGGGAGTCAGCCAATGGTTCATTTAGAAAAATTTTTGTTACTAATTCGAAAAAATAAAATAAAATCTACAAAGATAATATGGCATATGAATGGTTGGAAGGACTTGGAAAGAGAAAACTACAAAACAATTGTTGTGGTTCCCGGCCTTCGATCTCTCACAGTTTCACTTCGAATCGCTCGTTTGTACCAAGAACGGAGAAGAGAGAGAGACGACACGCGATATACGAGTTCAGTACCGAGGGGAACCTCGGTACCTACGTCTCGGGAAGAGAAAGTGGAGTATCTAGGGTTACAGTGCAAGAACGTCACTGGAAACCGCCGGTGACGGCTCCGGAGACACACACACACACATACACGGTGAGAGACGGAGCTCTCAGCCGCAAGAGAGAGAAACGTCCGAAATTACAGATCGAGAAGATGAAACCCGATTAGGGTTTCATTTACAAGCTTGCGTTAAAAGACCATAACGCCCCTCCGTCCTTATGAAAGCCTCTGACCGAAACCAAGGTTTCGAAAGCCTCTCCTTCAATCAGTGGATTTGCTGAAGACTCTCCACAACAATGTTTCATAAATACCCCTTTGATCAAAACGAACATGAACATTGATATCTTAGAGATCGAAATATAAGCAAGTTAAACTTTAAATATATAACTACGAAAAAATATTATATATATATAGGTGAAAAAGGTTGTTAAGTTTGCACTATTTCAACGATAACCATTTCACCTTTCAACAATTAATTAAATCCAATTCTCTTAATTTTGTAAATCCAAAATTTTTTCTGTATAAATTCTACTCCAAACTTTTTTTTAATATGATTTTAACCTTTTCTTAATTCTTCATCAACATGTATAAATTTTTTAAATTACATTAAATAACTAAACTTGTTTAATTCAATTGATTTCTCTGCAGATGTGGGCCTTCATCTCTATCCGGAGAAAAAAAAAAGCGATGAGGAAGGAACCAAAGAAAATTCATAAAAACAATACAAAAATTATATCGGTTATACCGGAACCAAACAAAATTTTGGTTTGGTTAAACCAATAGAAACCGGTTTGGTTTTTAAGGTTAACCGATTAAGAAAACGGAAATATGAAAAAGAAAAACGAAATTATTTTCCGCAAAATGGTTTCTAGATTTTTCTAGAGAGACTGAGAATCCTTCCCTCTTCGCGAGTTCTCCCTTTGCTCTGCGTTTTTAAACTTCGCAGTTCGTCGTCCTTTCTGTGAAGCGATCTTGTCGCAGAAACCCTAGATTTTGCTGTGTCTCTCTTACTCTGTGTTAGATCGAGTGTTTCGCGGGAATTTCGCTCGGTTGTTTGTGCAGAAACATGGCGGGAGATGAGTGCTTGCGCATGAAGATGAAGAGGAGAGACATTGACAGAGTCAACGACGACTTCTCCGATTTCTCTCTCTCTTCTCCGGCCAGGAAGATGCGTCGCCTGGTAATTCTTCTTTATCTCAATTATTCTCGGTAAATTTTGTTTCTGATCGAGCTGAATTGAAAGAAACCCTAGGATTTGTCAATTCGATTCGTGATCGTCAATTGGGTTGCTTCTGTTGGCGGGAATTGTTTCTGAAGTGATTCTTCTCTTTGAAATAATTCAGGACGTGGATTTTCCGCCGATTATGAAGAAGGATGAAGCCGAGATGGCGACGGCGAAGCCTATGGCCGAAGAATCGAAGCTGGAACCTGTGAATGAAGAGAGAGCTATTGTTGTTTTCAAGCCTTTACAAGCACAGCAGTCTTATTGTAGGAATCTCTATGTTGATACTGGTTTGATTTCTGGGTTTAAGAGTAAGTTCTTCAAGCTTATGACTGTCTTTTTTTTTTTTGTTGATCGATTTCATAAATCTTTGTCACAGAGTTTCACTTCGACCTTTGTTTTCATCACTGAACTGCGAATGTTGTTGGGTGAAATGGTGGGATCTTATGGTTGAAGAGCGTAGTTTTTATCTGGAATTTTAAGGAATGGGAACTATACAATGGTTTCGAGTAGAAAATTAGGGCTCTTGAACTTTCCTCTGAATCTCTTTGGACATTGATTCCTGACTTCGTGGTTTGTCCAACTAAGAATCAGCGTAGATCTGTGAAGTATATCCACATGCTAATATGAGTTCCATTCTTACATATCATTGTGAGGGCACCTTATCTTATTCCGGGAGTTCAGATCGTAGGAGACCCTTTACGAGTTCAACTGTTTGGCAGGAAATGGTGTCGGCCATTGAAATTATTAGTAATTCCTTTTGAAGGTGTTTCTTGTGCGGCAGGCTATCCACAGATTGTAGTTTCTCCTTTGTTTTCATTATGCCTAAAAGCGAATGATCCGCCTTTTCCTGGTTTTTGATTCAAATTCTGAAACCAATATGTGATGTGTGCTAAAATCACGTTTTTCCTTTCGGTGCAGATAAACTCTCCCGAGCAGGCTACCATGGGGATGCAGGACTAGCTGACGATGACTACGACGAAAACCAAACATCCAACAAGTGCCGAGCAGTAGTTCCTTGGAGCCCTTCTCAGTTCCCTGCTGCTCAATCCGAAGTACCCTTCCAAGAACCATACATTCTGGAGATTATTCAGTTGGACGAGGACGAGGACACGATGATGGAAGAAGCAACGATGGAGATCGAAGAGGACAGTAACTGTAGCATGTCTCTTCCTCAAGAGACGGAGTTTATCCATGGCTTCCGAACGATAAAGGGAATCGAGGGCTTGCATCATTGGCAGCAACAACCACACTGTCTGATTCCACAGCCTCCTCAATCCAATTCCACTCCCATTTCATGGTCCTTATAACCAAGTACGTTCTTCTTTTTGCTTCGTTCCTCGCGGTGCTGTGATTCCACGCCACGACTGAAACACGGGTTCAAACATGTGGAGGTCTAGAATCGTATCCCGTTGTTCTGCCGTGATATTTTCTTTTTCCGGTTAATGGGGAAGACGGGTATTTTAGAACGTTGAAGCAGTCTAAGTTGTAGATTTGGTAATGGCGTAGTTTTCTGTATGACGTATATATATACTCGTTTGTCACAAGCAAATGCGTCAATATATGATCTTCTGTCTAAATGGAATCTTGGTCTTAAATGGCGCTTCTGAGCGATGATCTTCTTTCCAAATGGAGTCTTTGTCACAAGCAAAAGCTTCAATGTATGATCTTCTGTCCATTATGGAATCGTTCATGTGTTACGTCGTCCGCGAATTTGGCAGTTGAACGTAAGAAAATTTCTTGACGTGGTGGTCCTTTTTTTTTTTTGGAAAAAAAAAACAAAGCAGAAGATGGGTCTTCTGTTATGTTCGTGAGAATTTGGTCGTCGTTCCTCGGACTTTGGAACTGGGGAAAGTTTTGGGCGGCGATTCAATGTGAGATGATGGACTTTGACAAAATCAAATCGAAGAATGTTTGTAAAATTTGATATGATTTTTTAAATTATATAAAAAAGCATCTATATTCAGTCTTTTATGTATGACACTAATCTATAATCCGATTATTCTCGTACATGGATGGCTTTGACGTCTGTCATCACTGTTGGACAATGACCCCACAATGAAAGCAAAAGGTTTCAGTTTCAAGGTAAAGAGAGGGCCCGCCATGATTACATCACAACCAAATTAATTTTCTAATATTATAATTTAGATTAATGTTAAACATCCTTGCTAAAAAAATAACATAGAATATTGGTTGTATGTTTGGGAATAATAAATATATAAATTAAATTAATAAGAAAATAAGTATTTTAAATAAAAATTGAATTTTAAAATTAGAAATATAAATAATGGTTATAATTTTCTAAAATAAAAATATATATTGTTAATTAGATTTTGAGTTTCTAAAATAAATACTTTTAAATCAAAACTGAATTTTCAAATAAAAATAAATAATAGTTATAATGTTCTACAAATAAAATTTTCACAGGATACAAAAAATTATCAGTTTGGAAAATATATATTCATAATTTAAAAGATCTGTATATCCAAAAATATCAAAACTTTAAAAAACTATAATATTATATATATATATATATATTATTTTGATTAAAAATATTGTATTTATAATATTAATTTATTATCGCACAAAATTAGAGTTAAAATAACAAATCAATAAGTATAATATATTTATGTTACTTTTGTAAAAATATTATTCGAATAATTAATATTTTGAATAGATATATATTTTAAAAATTAATACTTCTTATATTTATTTTACATGAATAAAAATGGAAAAACAAGACAAAAAAAGTGTTACAAAAAATGAAGGAGAGGCGGCTGAAATAAGCTGTACCCGGAAACCCCTAAACCCTCGCCGTGTCCCTTTTTTGTTTTCCTTCTCTCTGTTTCTTCTGAACAAAAGAAGTCTAAACGTTGATATTCCTTCATCCGTTTCTGCTTCCCCAAAGATCCAAGCTTTCACTGGAGTTCTATTGAAAGCTGCCTTCTTCGATCAATTCAACTTTGTGGGTTTTCTGATAATTGGAATCGAATCGAATCGAATCGAATCGAATCGTCATGTTTGTTTGTCCTGTTCATCGATAACTTTGATCCATCTCGTCTTAATTTGCCTAATGTTCCTTGTTTCAATCAAATCAAATGTATCTCCTTTTGTTTCATCGCCTTTCTGGGTTCGTGTTCTGTTCCTGACACAATGGGTCTGCATCCGATCAATCCGACAACATGTTCTTTTGTTTCTCTCTCTGAATCTGCGCCGTTTCTGGTTTTATCACTGTATAAAAGATGATGTTTCTTGATGGAGGAGTTGAAAAATCTCCCAAACAAGTCTTGTTCCTTACCCGCATTGTATATATATCCAAAGAAACGGAATTCAATTACCCTTTTAATATCTAAATCGTCTGCATAAAATTCTTGTGACTGTAGTGTGATTCAGATTTCAGACTGCGCTCTCATGTTTCTCTGTTTTGTGTGTTTTTTTCAGAGAGGACGGCTCAGATGGACGAGGAGATCACAAGGCTCTTCAGAGTTCGTCGTACTGTCTTAGAAATGCTGAGAGATCGAAGTTACAATGTCCAAGAATCTGACTTGAACTTGAAAAGAGATGAATTCATTCAGAAATTCGGTAACCCCGTGAACAAGGAAGCCCTCTTCATCGAAACAAATAAGGGTCCGAATCCAGCTGATAAGGTACTTCTGCATATATATATACACACACCTCTCCCCATTGCTCTGTATACATCTTATTCGTATTCATATACATATATATGTGGCAGTGGTGCAAGGTTTTGTGCTTTGAGCTCAAAGATCGGCCTTTACTATGTATCGTCGTTGTACCGATAAGCCGATAAGTTTTAGGGTTTTTAGCTCAAAGTGAAGCTTCAAATCCAAGTTCTGGTAAAGGTTGCTTTTCAGTTCACTCGGGTTAGGATTCAAGAATTGAGAATTCCACATTGTCTAGCTTTGATCTCAGTTGTTTGTGGACCCACCCATGAGAGCTGATCGGTTAAATTTTGGCTAAAATGAATTGGATTATACGTTAAATGTTACACCGACATATTCTTGTATCAATGTATATACATTACATCATTGCAGAAAGATCGATTTCTATTGCTTTAGTTTCTCTCAAGATGGCATATACATGCAGATGTATGTTTTCTTTCCGGTCGGTCCAAAGGTGGGAGTTCCGGTGGTAAGAGACGTCGCGAACAAGATGAAAGCCGACAATGTTCTTCGTGGGATCGTGGTTGTTCCAGCAGCCATGTCTGCTCCTGCAAGAGCAGCCATTTCTCAGATCAATAAGATTCTAAACATCGAAGTTTTCGAGGTTAATTTTCGCCCACTAATGGCATTTTTGCTTCTGCCTATATATATACACTCATCTATATATACACACACACACTCAGATCATATGATGGATATATGGGACTGAACTCTGATGACGCAGGAGGCTGAGCTGGTGAACAATATTACAGAACATAAGCTCATCAACGAGTACTATGTCCTTGACGATAAAGCCAAGAAGGAACTGCTTGCCAAATACAGAGTTCAAGAAACACAGGTATATCTGCTTCTTTCTTACTTTCCGCAATCTTCCTTCTCTGATTCCCCGTTTTCGATCATGAACCTGCGTGGTAGATATGAACATACACTTTTTCGTTCAAAGATAAGAATTCATGACTGTCTGTAACATATTCATGAGACATTTTTTTATATTTCTTCCGGATTTTTGTGATGCCCAGTTACCACGTATCCTGGTCTCGGATCCAGTCGCTAGATACTACGGCCTGAGACGAGGACAGATTGTGAAGATCCGTCGAAGTGATGTAACTTCCACAGATTATTACACCTACAGATATGCTGTATGATTCTTCATGTCGAAATCCAGCTTCTACTACTGTCAAAATTTTGGTCGAGGGGGATTTTATGCAAAATTTCCCCGACTCTGTCATTATGAGTTTAACCAAACCTAGATTCATCGGCTTTTTCTCTGCGGATAAGCTTTCGGTTTTATGTATTCAGATCCTGAAAAGCTGTTGTTTGCCTTACGAAATGTGAAAAGTCCTGCACACGAATGCTAAAAGATTAAAATCCAAGTGAAAAAAATAAAAGCTGCCGGTTTTTATTTGCAAACAAACAAACATTTTACAGAATTCTGTCGTTGATATGTTCAAGCCAGTGCGAAAATGTTATAAAAAAAGCAGAGTTTTGTGATGGATTTGAGCTGCTGAAAGCAAAAACCGATTTTCGATTTTGCTGAGATTTATTGCAAAGATGCTTCCAAGCAAGCAAGCAAACTCAGAGGAACTTCCTGTAAGGTCTGCCTGCGTCCTCGTCTTGCATATGCTGCCAATTCAAAGTTTCAGTACATTAGCTCGACCATAATGTTATGGAGAGTGCAAAATCAAACAACGACCAGATAAATCTTCAAACAAAGCTCATCATTAGCAGTAGTGTGTTAGACTCCCACATCGGAAATATGTGAGAATAATTGAGTCAATATAAGACCATGGGCACCCTCCTCCAACAAGCTAGTTTTTGGGGTGAGTTCTACCCATAGACTTTGAGACTTAATTGGGTCCATTATGGATGGGTGGGTTCTATCAAATTGGTATCAGGGCCAACCGATCCTCGGACATGCGGACGACGCGGCGGGCGGGGGACGGGCGGGAGAGGAGCACAAAGAGTGTATAGCCGCCAACGTTCGAGAAGTCGCCAGGGTCGTGGTCGTCGCTGTCTAAAGGGGGCAGTAATGCTAGAGTCCCACGTCGGAAACATGTGGGAACAATTGAGTCAATAAAAGACCATGGACACCTTCCCCCAACACGCTAGCTTTTGGGGTGAGTTCTACCCATGAGTTTTGAGACTTAATTAGACCCATTATGGATGAGTGAGTTCCATCAAATTGAACAATTGATATAGCTTGGGTCCTAACCCCACCACAAAAGCTAGTTTAAGAGTGGAGGTTTGACCCTCCTTATATATTGGCTCCAAATCACTCTCTTTTTCCAGTGTGAGACCTTATCAATACCGCCCCCTTTAGACAGCGACGTCCACGACGTTGAGGCAAATCTGATCGTTGGCGGCTTCTCGGTCAGTCCCCACCGTTCCTCTCTCGACCGTTCCCATAGCCACCGAGTTGATCGCATGCCCACAAGAGAACGGTCCGTCAAAGGCCCACCGAAGAGTAGAGAGTTGGCTCTGATACTAATTGATATAGTTTGAGCCCTAACTCCACCACAAAAGCTAGCTTAAAAGTGGAGGTTTGACCCTCCTTATATCGAGGAACGGTCGGGAGAGGAGCACAAAGAGTGTATAGCCGCCAACGTTCGAGAAGTCGCCAGGGTCGTGGTCGTCGCTGTCTAAAGGGGGCAGTAATGCTAGAGTCCCACGTCGGAAACATGTGGGAACAATTGAGTCAATAAAAGACCATGGACACCTTCCCCCAACACGCTAGCTTTTGGGGTGAGTTCTACCCATGAGTTTTGAGACTTAATTAGACCCATTATGGATGAGTGAGTTCCATCAAATTGAACAATTGATATAGCTTGGGTCCTAACCCCACCACAAAAGCTAGTTTAAGAGTGGAGGTTTGACCCTCCTTATATATTGGCTCCAAATCACTCTCTTTTTCCAGTGTGAGACCTTATCAATACCGCCCCCTTTAGACAGCGACGTCCACGACGTTGAGGCAAATCTGATCGTTGGCGGCTTCTCGGTCAGTCCCCACCGTTCCTCTCTCGACCGTTCCCATAGCCACCGAGTTGATCGCATGCCCACAAGAGAACGGTCCGTCAAAGGCCCACCGAAGAGTAGAGAGTTGGCTCTGATACTAATTGATATAGTTTGAGCCCTAACTCCACCACAAAAGCTAGCTTAAAAGTGGAGGTTTGACCCTCCTTATATATTGGTCCCAAATCCCTCTCTTTTTCCAATGTGAAACACTTATCACAGTGAAAGCGGAAATATCACATGTTTGAACTTATATAACTCACCCGAAAGTGCAGGAAGAGATGCAAGTTTATTTTTAACCTAATCAGCAATGTGAGTCATACAACACTGCTTATAGTATGTGCATGACTATAGTTTCAACTGGACATAAAAATCATCATCCAGTGCTCCGAATTCAAGTACCCCATTCTAGGAATACCAAATGATGAACCGGGTGATTCAAACTGCGACAATGTGAATGCCAATGCAATCAAAGGATAATCCTTTTGGTGATGTCTCCCAGATATTTTAGTAACGTCGATAGAACAGAAACAGAGACAGTTCAACTTACTTCAAGTTACCATAAGATGCAATCTATGCTCTATATTGAACTACTATATTGTCTCATTTGATTTCAACAACAATGCCGGCTAGTTAGTGCAGTGAGTGAGACTCAAGGATAATCGCTTCAACACATCAAATAAGGCACCCAACTCAGATGAACGATGCTGCATAGAGATAATCCCTAGAATTCCAACTCCCCAGAAAGAGGAATACAAATAAAAGAGCACATACATGGAGAAATCAATGCTATGCTGAGAAAAGAAGGATAAGCAAGCAATAAACAAACAGAATCCAGTTTTCAAGCATTGAGGGCGGAGAGAAGCAGCAGCACAGTAAAAAAAATCCAGATTTGTACACCGACGATATTCGAATCACGAGCTAAATGCACCCAACCAAGTGACAGAGAACAAAGTCAATTTCCAATAGAAACGTGCATTCCCCAGGAGAAGCAATTGCAAAGCATACGCAAATACCCAACTGAATAATCGAACAATCGCATTACCGGCCCTAATTCATCACCAAAACAGCGGAATTAGGGCACGGACCACATCAAACGAGCGAGAAATCGAAATCGAGAGAGAGATCGAACTCACGAATTCTCGGACGATTCCCTTGTAAACAAGGATCGGGAGGGCGATGCCGAAGATCCCGACGAGGGCGAGGTTGCGACGAGTCCAACGGAAGTTGTGCTCGAGATTCTCCCTGGCACTGCTCCAATCCTCGATGAACCTGTTCTTGTTCGTTTCCATCCCTCCACCCATCTTTCGCTCTCTCTCTACCTTCTTCTACTTCTTCGTCGGCGTCGTCTTCTTCTTCTTCTTCGGTCGAGATGAGAAAAATGGTATTGCTGTGTGTATGTGCGAGAAATTTATTCCCGAACGGTTAATGGTATATTTGTCCGGTAAACTTATAATTTTAATTTTGATTAAATATATAACTTTCCCGTCTTATATAGTATTATGCATTTGTGAAATTCGAAGCGAATATGTATGCATGTATATATATATTTAAGAGAAAGGTCTATTTATCTCTATATAAATAGTCTAACCAGCGATATATAAGTGATTTTTATTTATTTTTTATTAATATTATTATACATTTTTAGTTCTTATTTTTATTAATTAATATTATTAAATATTAAATTGTTAGTGATGTAGCAGTTCATTAGTATGATATTATTGTCATGTCGTGGAATAGTCAATTTTTATGTTAGGATTTTATTTACCAATTTCTAAAAAATATAGATATTTTATTGCTATATAATAAGTATAGAGTTTAATAAGATAAAAAAAAGTATGGAGTTAAAATTATGGCGAGAAAAAATTACGGTGTTTTAAATAGAATTATCCCAATCAAATAAAAATACAACTATATATAAGTTATATACATAAATATTATGTATATATATTTTGTGTTTCCATGACAAATCCCAATTTTATATGATTGAATTTTTGTAGGTATTTTGAGCAAATATGAGGTTCTAATCTTAGTGTCTACAAACAATCTATAAGAAAAAAAATAATAGAAATCAAAATCTCCATAATTTATATTGTGAATCTCAACCCAAATAGGATACAAAAACTATCCTGAAATAGCATCCACAAACATGATCAATGACAATGCCCAAAATCCACCACCAAATTTTATTCCATCATATATATATGTATATATAGCAGGAACAAAACCAAATGGAATCCAAATTTAAAATTATTGCAATAATATATTATGATATATTGATCATGTAACTTTCTTTGGTAACGGTCAAACAATGTATATAATGAAATGGAAGAGTAGGATGATCATTTGATTATTAACAAAATAATCGAAACGAATTGGATCAAATAAAATACAATGATAACCAAACCGATTGAATCTTATTTAAGATAAAAATAGAATGATTATGGTTTTTCTAAATCATAAAAAATCGAAACTATAGCCGAATAAATTCCAATCAAATCAGACCAAAATTAAATAGATTCAAACTTTATCCAAAATTAACATAAAAATGGAATGATTATCAAACAACTAAAATAGTCGAATGGAATGCGAACCGAAAAAGTAGTATTTTTGTAAGCAAACAACCAAACGTATTTATGCAAAATGGATTGAATTTGAGCTCCTTCTTCCCTCTTACCGAGGAGGAAACCATGAGGACAGAGGATTAATCTTACAAGTTACAATAGCAAAAAAGTTCCGACCTTTTTGTTGGAACTGGCTCCGTTTCGCTTCTTCGTTTGCCGGGTCGCCGAACCAACTCGGCGATCGATTGGGTATTTTCGGTGGTTCGATCTTTTCAATTTTTCACGGATATATCTCGGGTCCTCTGTTTCTCGCCCTGTAATCAGTCCTTCTCTTTGGTTTTCGTTCTTCTCCATATTGGGTTTTGTTCGTTGCTTTACTGGGTTAGATTTCATTTTCTTCATCAGGGTTTGTCTCAGTTCGGGTTCTTACTGGATGGGTATTGCCTCATTTGGTGTGTTTTCTCTTACATGTCGTGTTTTTGTTTCGTTCAACCTGTTATATTTGGTGTGGGTCTGAAATGGTTTGTCTTGTCCGAGGGTGTGGGTTTGTGTGAAGAGTTCTTGCATCCATCGATCTTCCATGTACGATTTTGATGGGTTTAGTGTGATAATCATATGAAGGGTGGTATATTTTGTCTTTGTTTGTGGGCACTTGTGAAGTCACCAAACCGGTTACTCTTAAAATGGATTCATGGCTTCATGTTTAATTCTTGATTTGCATACACTCCAGCTCAGAAAACGTGGACAGATATGGAACTAAATTTCTCTTGGACACAATCGTCTTACATGTGAAACCGTGTGTGATTCTTGTGTAAAATGTGAAAGTAATAATGAATCTGTCAAGGTTGAGATCTTGTATTGCATTGGAAATGTGCTTATGATTTGTTGTTGTAGAGATATTCATATAAAAAAACTAGAAGAAGATGAATGCAATGCAACAGAGTTTAAATCGAGAATTCGCAATGTCTTTTTAGAGATAAGACGTGTCCTCGGGATAAGGATGAGATGAGATCAAGATGGATAAGAATAGAAGGAGGTTGAGTCCGGAGATGGATAAGGACGAAAATGATGTTGAGTGAGGATTGATGTCGGAGATGGATTTACATGGGCTAGGAATTTTAGTGGTTAAGGTGTTGCCGTTGTGACCTTGAGTTCATGGGTTCGAGTCCTGCAAGCAGCCTGTTGCAGATATTTCTGCAAGGTAAGGTTTACCTACAATATACCCTTGTGGTGGGACCCTTCCCTGGCCCCCACTCAACGGGGACACGTGCACCGGGCTGCCGTTTAGGAATTTTAGTAGTTAGTGATAAGATGATTGAGTTTCGGAGGAGATAAGCTCGAATAAAAGAATCTTATTTACACAATGTAGAAATAGAATGTGCATTAATGTTGTAGAGTCTAAATTGAGAAAATTTCCTTCTAAAGTAAAGTGTCCGCGTGAGGGAATCTCAAGTGAAAATGCCGAAACGCGGAACGCGTTTTGGGATTATAAAACACAGGTTGTTTGAGATTCATGTTGTTCGGGTAGTTCAGGTAATTCTAGTACTAATGAGGCGTATCGGGTGTTTTGGTCAGCAGATGTAGTCAAGGCCGAATCTCGTTAAATTCTCGTTTGCTCTCTATATTTTCCGTGTTCATGCCTATACTTACATAATCCTCTTGTTCGTTTTCCGTTTTGATGTTCATAAGGTTTAAATGTTTGAACTTTCTGGATTTTGATTCCATGAGTAATGACATTAACATCGTTTCTCGTTTTAATTGCATCAGTACTGTCAAAGCTTAAAGCATGGTGAGGAGCCTCTGAGATATCGAACAATTCAAGAGAGACACATTTCCGAAAAGGTTAGGAAACACCGATTGTCGATTTGCTATCATATTATTTGCTTCCTTTATAGGGCATTTTTAAGCGTGTGATGCCGTTTTCTGATAGTTTTGAGGTAATTCTTCGGAAGATTTTCTCTTTTTGCTTTGATCCGGAACCTTATACTCGTAGACACCAGAGTTTTTAACATGTAAGTGTCAGAAGTTGCAAGATCAGGTTCCACTTGTTGAGAGTTTCGATCTGTAATTCCGTATGTGATAGAAGTTTGAAAGGCATTTCAGAGTTACAAAGTTTCATTCTTTAGTTCATGAAAGGTATCTTTGGGTTAATACGCTGGGATTTTATGGTAATAATTCTGTTTTTGTTGGAGCTTGTGTGTCGATATTCTGTAATTCATTTTTATTGAAGTGAAAAGATAACGATACGGTTCTTTCTCCATATTAAATTGATGACCAAAAATCATCTGTAACAGGTAGTAGTTTCATATCCAGTATGTCGAACACAAAGGAGCAAGGAAATGAAGCGAATGTCTCAAATGTCATGAAGCATCCAGATGGTAGTGTTCATGAATCGGTACTCGTCCCATCTTCGCCAGGATCGTCATCCCCTTCATCTTTTGAGGAATCCGAAGATGGAGGTAACCAATTATCTGGAGATACTCCAAACCAGTTGGTGGTTTATGAACCTACCAAATCTCCGAGCCGTTCAGCCCGGAGATTTTCCTCCGCTTCCAAAAAATTGCCATTCATTGGAGCATTCACAGTCCAGTGTGCCGATTGTTTCCAATGGAGACTCATGCCATCGAAGGAGAAGTACGAAGAGATAAGGGAATGCATTCTGCAGAGGCCCTTTACGTGTGAAATGGCACGAGAGTGGCGGCCGGATATACGCTGTAACGATCCGACAGATATCAGTCAAGACGGAAGCCGGCTCTGGGCTCTTGATAAGCCTAATATTGCCCAGCCTCCTCCCGGGTGGCAACGGCTTCTGCATATAAGAGGCGAAGGATGTACCAGATTCGCTGATGTGTAAGCCCTTTTGTGTGATTAGTCCTTTCCTGTTTCTACTCTATTGCTCTTTCCTCGGGAAACCATTGCTTCGAATTCATCTCGATTCTGTACCCTTATAAATAAGATCTTCGAGTAAAATGTTTAGCATGTGTCTGTGAGCCTTACCTGATGTGCTGAATTATGTGCAGGGGATATCACGTTTTGGTCCTAAAATTCCCTTTTCCGGTCTTTTTTTCAGGTACTATGTTGCTCCCTCGGGAAAGAGGTTTCGGTCAATGGTGGAGATTCAAAAGTTAGTTTCCCGTGCCTCCATTACCGCTTTTCTGCCACTCTTATACTTTCATTTCCGGTTTCTTCCATGTTAAAGTGTTGCATCCTTGGTTAAAGCTGATGTGCTGTCTGAATCGTTTCACCAAGAAAACAGACTCGCTGGTAACATTTTACCGAACCCGTTCTGTAACCGAAGATATGGTTGGAACATTACCAAGGTGTTGTCTTGTGATGAATATTAAGTTGGTCACTTATGCAAAAAGATTACATAACATGTTTGAGCCAAGAAATTGTGTGAAACCTCGTGTTTTTTTATTGTACTTTTCTTGATGGTTGGAGATCGACATGACTGAGATACCCTCCACTTTCTTGCAGGTACTTGGCTGAACACCCGGAATATGTAGCGGAGGGGATAAAGCTTTCACAGTTTTCGTTCCAAATCCCGATACCGTTGCGGGAAGATTATGTGAGGAAACGTCCTGCCCGAGTTAGCAGCGGTACAAAAGCCCCTGATGCTACTGAAGGTATGCTTGCACCGCCTTTCTTTTCATTCGCTTTTTCTTCGTTTTCAGTTAATGGGGTCGAAGTTTCAAGCTTTCGTTTTACTTTATCTGAGATTTTTTTTTTTTTGTAGTAGTCACAGTTTAGTTATGTTCAATGGCATAATCTTGGTACCATTATCATTCCAGTCATGATCATCGCAACATAGACTTCTCATGTAGCAGCTAGAAAGATGACAGAGAATGCAAAGTCTCTCAACGGAAAATTCTAAAAACAGAATCACCTTTTGCAGTTTCGGTTATCATCCCGGCCGAACCCGGCTCACAAGTTTGTTTGTTTTTTTGCCATTTGTGTCTTTTTTTTCAGCAAAGCCAGTGACATGGATAGCTCCAGAGGACCCGACAGATTTGCAGTTGCAGCTGGGTAGAAAGTCCGAGCCTTCCGGTTCCGGGGATCCGCCCTCTAAGAAGCCGAGGAAATCACCGTTACTGAATATTGATCTCAACGCCGAAAACCCGGAGGATCATCCAGAGATTGATCTGGAAAAGACGGGAGAATCCAGTGATGGATCATGATGATTCATCTCCTGGTACAGCACCCACCTTCTTTTTTTGCGGAAAACTGAGAAAGCCTTCATCTTTTTTTGGTTCAGTGTTCATCGATTGGGTTTGGGGTTCTTTTTCTGTAGTGTTGTTCTTCATGTGTGATATGATAGAGCAGAGGCTTGTGAAGGTGGGGGAGAATAAAAGGAGGGAGTTTTTGTCTTTTGTAGTTTACTTTTATCTTCAGTTTAAACCAAAGTACTTTCTCTTTGCGGTATTATAAGTTGGTTCGGTTTTGATTCGATTAATATCATACCGATTGATTGATTTGAATTGAATAACATAACTAGGGATGGTTTAATCGGATTTCGGTTCGGGTTCAGTTTGGTTATATTTGAGTTCAGTTATTTTGGTTTTAGGAAACTATAACCGTTCAGTTTTTAGTTTTTACATTGAATTCGGTTTGGTTCGTTTATGATAAAAATAAATTTACACTTTTTTCGGCTATTTTTTATTCGGTTCGGATTTGGGTTTGATTTTTTCGATTTTAGAGAAATTATAACCATTTGGTTTAACATCTAATTCGGTTCGAATTAGTTCGGTTATTCGATTATTAACCAAATAAATCACCCCTACGTATAACTATATTTGATATAAAAATCTAATGGTTAGAATTTTTTTGGAAAAAAAAACCAAATTTAAATTAAATCGAATCGAATAAAAAATAACCAACAAAATAATAATCATTTTTTCTTAAAAAAAAATGAGTACTTCTTATTAATAGATTGGATTCAAATTTAATATAAAACCAAATAATTATACTTTTTCTAAAACTAAATAATTCAAACTAAAATCCAAAATAATAACCCGTAATTTTTGGTAAACTAAATGATCGTCCATTGGTGTATCGAGTTAGCTCAATCGCTGGTATAATAGTTGGGCCTTTGATCCAATAACGAAGAGATGCCCGAATGCTAACTTATGGACCGAGTTAGCTTGGACCGCACCAGTTTGATTTCGTACAAATTCTTTTATAAATTCAATCCAAATATGATATATAAATAAATTCAATTCTATTTTTATTTCAAATAAAATACAGTACTATACAAACAATTAAATTATTCAGATCCAATAAATAAATTAATAGAAAATTAACAAAGGACTAAAAATGAAATCTTAAAATTTATAATTCTCATAAATTTGATCAACTTTCACTTGAAATTTATTATATTTATAAAGTATTATCTTTAATAATATTTTCATATTTTTAAAAACTATATATTAACAAAAGAAATTTCGAAGGTTTTGATCTAGGTGACAGACTAACAATAGTGATGTCAAACGGGTCGGCTCAGACCATCTCATTCCGAATCAGTTCATTTTCAACCCAACTCGTTAAGTTCGTTTTTGTTCGGGCCAATAAATTTCTAACTCGGTCCAAATCGTTCTAACTCATGAGTCATTCCGCGAGCCGACTCTTATACTTTCATTTCCGGTTTCTTCCATGTTAAAGTGTTGCATCCTTGGTTAAAGCTGATGTGCTGTCTGAATCGTTTCACCAAGAAAACAGACTCGCTGGTAACATTTTACCGAACCCGTTCTGTAACCGAAGATATGGTTGGAACATTACCAAGGTGTTGTCTTGTGATGAATATTAAGTTGGTCACTTATGCAAAAAGATTACATAACATGTTTGAGCCAAGAAATTGTGTGAAACCTCGTGTTTTTTTATTGTACTTTTCTTGATGGTTGGAGATCGACATGACTGAGATACCCTCCACTTTCTTGCAGGTACTTGGCTGAACACCCGGAATATGTAGCGGAGGGGATAAAGCTTTCACAGTTTTCGTTCATAATAAAAATAATAAAAATTATTTAAAATTGATAAATATTTTTTAAAATTATTAAAAAAAATAAAATAATTTTTGTTTTTCTAGCTCGCGAGTCAATTCGTGCCTTTGCCGAGTGGCTCCGGTGAGTTCAGTTTGTGACGAACTGACTCGTTCCGACCTTTTTTTATTCAGACTCAAAAATTTTTGGTCTAGATCGAAATAATATGGATCGGTTCGTGAGCCAGCTCGTGAATTGGGCTCATTTTGAAATCCCTAGCTGACACTGGGTTGAGACGCAAACGCTCACAAAATTGACGTTTGCCATTTCGGACGGTGAAAAATGCGACTGCGATTGTAAACGCGCGAAGCAACCCAAACGGGGCTTCTCGCTCCCGCGTTTTATCGTAATGTGAAAAAATGCCCTAAATTCAATTCAACTGTCATAAACCCAAAACCTCCGTCATCTTTATCCACTATCTCTCTCGACGGCTCGCCGGCTCCCCGCCGGTGATCTATCGGTTTTCGGAATCTTCTCCGTCGCCGTTGCTGGTATTGTCTCTGTCTCTCTGCCTGTGTCTCTCTTTATGCTTCTTGGGCTTTGCTGGTATTATTGGGATTTGTGTGAGACCTAAGCAATCAGGTGGCTGCTTCTTCTTCGCTCCTGCAAAAGTTTTCAAAGTTCTACATTTTTTTTTCACTCTGCTCTAGTTTTAGTCAGCCGTTTAACCGGATTTTTGCTGGCTAACGGATCCATTTCTCTTTGATTTCGGCTTCATTAACCCTAATTTTGTCCTGAGGTGGTAAACAATAGTCATTTTGTGGTTTTCTTTTGTTAAATTTTCCACGTCTGAGAATTTAGCTGGAAGTTAATTGCGTGTAAGGTTGTTGTTTGAGCTGAATTGATGAACTTTATTAAGCGTTCTCTCATACTATGCTGGTTAGGTTTTTGTTTTTATAGTGGGTGTGTGTGTGTCTGATTTCGATTTGTCACATTGTTATGCGTTATCATTTTTGAAGGTGAAGGAGGTAGTGCAATTTCCTGGTCGTCTTTTAATTGTTTTCTGAAGTCTGGATAAGTTGCGGTGGAATTGGATTTGAGATTTGAGGAGCAGATTTTCAGCACGGAGAATGGAAGATTCAGGGGCACTCAAAAGAAAAACACCCGAAGAATCAAAGATTTTAGGTACATCGACGCAAGATTCCGCAGCAAAACGTAGAAGCCAAACTCGAACCTGTGTTCATGAAGTTGCTGTACCCAGTGGTTATACATCAACGAAGGATGAACCAATACACGGGACACTTGCAAATCCCTTGTTTGATGGAAAGATGGCAAAAACATACCCTTTTGAGCTTGACCCTTTTCAGAGAGTATCTGTGGCTTGCTTAGAAAGAAACGAATCGGTTTTGGTATCAGCACATACTTCTGCAGGGAAAACTGCAGTGGCAGAATATGCCATCGCTATGGCATTCAGAGATAAGCAGAGGGTTATATATACTTCCCCCTTGAAAGCCTTGAGTAATCAGAAGTATAGGGAGTTACATCAAGAGTTTAAAGATGTTGGTTTGATGACTGGTGATGTCACACTCTCACCTAATGCAAGTTGTTTGGTCATGACGACGGAAATTCTTAGAGCGATGCTTTACAGGGGATCGGAGGTGTTGAAGGAGGTTGCTTGGGTTATTTTTGATGAAATTCATTACATGAAGGATAGGGAAAGGGGAGTTGTTTGGGAAGAAAGTATCATATTCTTGCCACCAGCTATTAAGATGGTGTTCCTTTCAGCAACAATGTCAAATGCAACTGAATTTGCTGAGTGGATTTGTTATCTGCACAAGCAGCCATGTCATGTAGTATACACGGATTTCAGACCGACACCTCTTCAGCATTATGTTTTCCCTACGGGTGGGAGTGGACTGTACCTAGTGGTTGATGAGAATGAGCAGTTCCGAGAGGACAATTTCATGAAGATGCAGGATACTTTCCCAAAGCAGAAACCAAGTGATGGGAAAAAGAGTTCAAATGGAAAATCAGGAGGAAGAATTTCTAGAGGTGGGAATGGCTCTGGTGGTTCTGATGTATACAAAATTGTAAAGGTATCTTTTCTTTGTTTCATGTTTTGTCTCTGAGGTTTCTCACGGTGCTATATTCACCTTTTTCTTTTTGCTCATTGTTACCTGTAATGCGGTAGCATGCCATGCTGTCTTTAGGGATCGTCCATCTCTAGTTCAAGGTTTGTCAAATTCTACTCAGATAAATGTAGCTGTTCTTTTGAACTTTGAGTTTGCAATGAGATGGGTGAAAAACTATAGAGAAAAAAAATCAATTTTTTCTTGTGGTAGCAAGCAATGAAACTAATGACATATTTGATCTATGATATTGAATAACCCTTCTCTGCAAACTTGTATTGTAAGCAGTATTATTTGTTTTTGCTTCAGATTCATCTCCGTTGTGATAGGCTTGTTCCAGTTACAGTGTTTTCATAAGCATCCATTGTTTGTCAGTTTACAAAGGAATGATTTTTGTCATCACAGATGATCATGGAAAGAAAGTTTCAACCAGTCATCATCTTCAGCTTCAGTAGAAGAGAGTGCGAACAACATGCATTGTCAATGTCCAAGCTCGATTTTAATACAGATGAGGAGAAGGAGGTGGTAGAACAGGTGTTTAATAATGCTATTCTGTGTCTGAATGAGGATGATAGGTCCTTGCCTGCTATTGAGCAGATGTTGCCTCTGCTCCAACGAGGTATTGCTGTTCACCACTCTGGCCTTCTTCCTGTTATCAAAGAATTGGTGGAGCTTCTTTTTCAGGAAGGACTTGTGAAGGCCCTATTTGCCACAGAGACGGTACGAGCTTTCTGGGGATAACTTTATTTTTGTGAAGTGCTTGTTGTGTATTAATTTTCTCTGCACTAATTCTATGGCCATTTTGGTCCGGCTTCTTCTGTATCAGTTTGCTATGGGTTTGAACATGCCTGCAAAAACTGTTGTATTTACAGCTGTTAAAAAATGGGATGGTGATAGCCATCGCTACATAGGGTCTGGTGAGTATATCCAGGTGAGTGATACCTTATTGCTATCGCTGAGAACTTGGAGGACTGTCTTTGTTTGTATGAGTTTTTGCATTTTCTAACTTTTATTTGAACTTTTGTAGATGAGTGGCAGGGCTGGCCGTCGTGGAAAAGATGATCGTGGTATCTGCATTATAATGATTGATGAACAGGTATTAATTTTTGGAGGGAGTTTTTCATTTTCAGGATTCCGTTTCATTGAGACAGTCAGTTTTGCTTCTCCCATTTATCAACAGATTTTGGCTTTTTAACTGCTTATTGAACTCTAATGCATATGATATACCGATATAGCATGACAAACTATATACCCAGCGGAAATATGTGGTTTTGCATATTGTAGCCTTTATTCTTCCAAGATGGTCAGTTAAAGAGAATTCTTGTGTGCTGGTTTTGTTTTGTTCTTTAACAGATGGAGATGAATACGCTGAGGGACATGGTGTTGGGTAAACCGGCCCCTTTGATTAGTACCTTCCGATTGAGTTACTATTCAATTCTGAATTTGATGAGCCGTGCTGAAGGACAATTTACCGCTGAACATGTCATAAGGCATTCGTTCCACCAATTCCAGTATGAAAAGGTTTCTTGCGAGTTGACCTCTCGTCTTTTTCTTGATAGTTTCTATTAACCTTTGTTTTATGTGCTCATTTTGCGTTGTTGTTCCACACTCAGGCCTTACCTGACATGGGGAAAAAGGTGTCTAGGCTTGAAGAAGAAGCCGCTATTCTTGATGCTTCTGGAGAGGTGCTCATCAGTGTTTTATTACTAGCGTTTATAAAACAAGTCCATTCTGACTTCTCTTTTTTTTCCAGGCTGAGGTTGCTGAGTACCATAAGCTAAAACTTGACATAGCTCGACTTGAGAAGAAACTGATGTCAGAAATAACGAGGCCTGAAAGGGTTCTTTGTTTTCTTGATACTGGTCGGCTGGTAGGTTTTTGAAAAGTTCATCTGATTTTTATGAACTAAGAGCTATCAAGCCATTACTTTTATTCCATATCTCTTGGGGACTTTTAGATTAGTTTCTATGTTGTAACTCCTTGTGAAACCATGTCTGAAAACTTGTCTCACTCTACTATAAAATAATCTCCTATATGCTACAAGACAGACACTTGTCAGCTGAGTAACTCTTGTTGTACAAGAGTGTTTCCCCCCTCCTGCTGCGTTCAGAATTCGCACCTAGAAGTTTGTATGCCCATCCCCTTCATATAGCAATTTGGTTAGAAGATAGATGTCCCTTCAGGTTGTCAGAAAGTCTCTTTCATGGGTCATTCAACTTTATTAAGAAATTTTAGACTGGATAATATCATGTAAATGCCACTGGATCATGCTAAATAGTTTCCTATATGAGAAAGCTTGAAAGTACTTACTTTGACAAGAGTTATTTGCAGGTCAAGGTACGAGAAGGTGGGACAGACTGGGGTTGGGGAGTTGTCGTCAATGTTTTGAAAAAGCCTTCAATAGGAGCTGGTTCTGCCTCTTCACGCGGTGGGGGATATATAGTTGACACTCTGCTTCATTGCTCTAGTGGTTCTAGTGAGAATGGTGGTAGGCCAAAGCCGTGTCCTCCCCGTATTGGGGAAAAGGGTGAGATGCATGTGGTAAGCACCGGCTTCTATTATCATTAGACTTAAAACATCATTTTATTCTTCCAGCACTACTGGATTTTCGATATTGTGTTTCTGCCCTTTGTCAGGTCCCTGTCCAGCTACCCTTGATTTCTGCTTTGAGCAGAATGCGGATATCGGTTCCTTCTGATCTTCGTCCTCTAGAAGCAAGACAAAGCATACTACTTGCAGTACAGGAGTTGTCAAGTCGCTGTCCCTTAGGGTTTCCAAAACTCCATCCAGTTAAGGTAATTTTTTGTGACAAGGCAAGCATGAAAAAAGAGTTCCCATATTCCGTACCATGTTTTCTGCTAGCCTTCAACTTCTGTGCTATCAAATCATAGGCGCACTTCATGATATTTAAGGTCCCATAAATGGATCTATAATGATTTTCAGGACATGAATATTCAAGATACAGAGATTGTGGATCTGGCCAAACAAATTGAAGAACTTGAGCAGAAGCTACTTGCTCATCCGCTGCACAAGGTTTTACTGAATGTCCGATACACTTTTTGTTCGTGATTTCTAATTGCAAGTTCACGAGAGATGAGATCAATGTTCTTGCAAACTCAGATTAAACTTAAATAACTTATTCCAGTTATTTTCCAATTTTGTCTATGCTGCAGTCTCAAGATGATCAACAAATGAAGAGTTTCCAGAGAAAAGCGGAGGTGAACCATGAAATCCAACAGCTCAAAGCAAAAATGCGTGATTCCCAGGTATTTTTTGTAATGCTCCTTAACAGATATAGCCGCACTCCCATAGCGGTGAATCACCTATGTTCTGGTGATTTAGAGATCATTTTTGTTGCGTCATCTTCAATCATTTTCCTTTCGGTTGGTATATTAGTCATAAGAGATTTGAAAATTACTTTTCCTTATGGTTCTTCTGGTATTATGAGTGGACATCTCCCCTTTTCTAGTCTTATCCTATACCTTCCGAAAAAGAGGGAATGACTCAGTCATCCCTTTTTTCTCACTACTTTGCTGGAATGTCAATTGTTGTTCAAGATTTCTTCTTCTTCACATATCCCCTGGCGCCCTGTTTCAATTTTTTTTCCTCTTCGCAGCTCCAAAAGTTCCGAGATGAGCTTAGGAATCGTTCACGGGTATTAAAGAAACTTGGACATATTGACGCGGATGGTGTGGTCCAGTTAAAAGGAAGAGCAGCATGCTTGATAGATACAGGGGATGAATTACTGGTCACCGAATTGATGTTCAATGGTACGACATCTTTAGATACGTACCACTGAATTGGGGAATTTTTTTGCCACTTTTTCAGCCTCAACATTTTAGGTGAACAAGTGAGATTTTAAGGTTATTTTCGAGTTTCACTTACTTGCCAATGTATGCATAACTCTTCTTGTAGGAACTTTCAATGACCTTGATCATCACCAAGTTGCATCCCTTGCAAGTTGTTTCATTCCCGTAGATAAATCAAGCGAACAAGTAAATCTGAGAAATGAACTTGCAAAACCATTCCAGCAGCTCCGGGATAGTGCTCGAAAGATCGCAGAGGTATACTTGTTTGCCTCTCTGAGATGGAAAGCATTTTTCCCGTTATTTTCATCTTGTTATTGTTTATAATTCTCCTCTTTGTGCGATGGCAGATACAACATGAGTGCAAGCTAGAAATTAACGTTGATGAGTATGTTGAATCAACTGTTAGGCCTTTCTTGATGGACGTCATCTACTCTTGGTCAAAGGTTGGTAGTTTTGAAGCTCAAAAGTGCTGATTTTTTATTGCTATACGGTGTTACATATATATATATAATAGTTCCGAGAATGGTAAAAATATGTACTATCTCCAAATAATTGCTCACCAATACTTCTTTCAAATACCTGGTATCGGTTGTCCCCTGTTCTGTGTCAAAGCATTTTACGCTCACTAGAGAATACTTTTAAGTTGCTTTGAACTTCATTTACTGATCAAGTCACGCATACCCCTTTGATGTGATCATATGTTCAAATGGAACTCTTTTCCAGGTACTTTCAATGATCTTGATCATCACCAAGTTGCAGCCCTTGCAAGTTGTTTCATTCCTGTAGATAAATCAAGTGAACAAATTAATCTGAGAAATGAACTTGCGAAACCGTTCCAGCAGCTACAAGATAGTGCTCGAAAGATTGCAGAGGTAATCTTATTTTCCACTAACCGAAAGCATATGTAATCTTCATGGGGTATTCCTTATAACCATCATGTTTGTGTGATTGCAGATACAACATGAGTGCAAATTAGAAATTAACGTTGATGAGTATGTTGAATCAACTGTTAGGCCTTTCTTGATGGACGTCATCTACTCTTGGTCAAAGGTTGGTAGTTTTGAAGCTCAAAAGTGCTGATTTTTTATTGCTATACGGTGTTACATATATATATATAATAGTTCCGAGAATGGTAAAAATATGTACTATCTCCAAATAATTGCTCACCTATATATCAATTTCATGTTTGTTTAAGAAAATATTTTTGTTCTAAGCTTTCTCTGTTGTGGAAACTTTTTTTCATGGTTGCCCATTTGTTGGGTTTTGTTTTTCTGATCTTTTCCCTTGTTTCTCTCCTGTTAGGGTGCAAGCTTTGCAGAGGTTATACAAATGACTGACATATTTGAGGGTAGTGTCATTAGGAGTGCTAGAAGGCTTGATGAATTTTTGAACCAGGTGACTTTACCATCTCTCATGTCACTTTGTTTTCATGTTCATGTTATGGTCGAAGCCTAGGGAATAAGCAGTTTCTTAGGCCTTATTCTTCTTGTTTGTCCTGCGGTTATGTACTCTCGAGCTCTCTGGAATCTCGACTCGAGCTTCTGCTGTTTCTTGACACTTTGGTTGGTGATTTTTAGTTGCGAGCTGCAGCGAATGCTGTTGGTGAGACCAGTTTGGAGAACAAGTTTGCAGAAGCCAGTGCAAGCTTGAGACGAGGTATAATGTTTGCAAATTCTCTCTACTTGTAATTACCCTTTTGCAGAGTACATCAGTTGAAACTTACAGAATAGGTTGCTGAATGCTGAGAACCCCATTCCCGTATTCCTATTCTTTAGAAGGGCTTTGTTTGTACTCTTTCTTCTGTATTGATCTTGTCCTTAATCATGAAAACTTTTTCTATTTCCTTTCATAACGAATTTGACTTTGAAGTTTCCTCAGCATTATCTGATAAAAGAGCTATGGTATCTAATCCCAACCTAGCCAGTCAGACGGGTCAGGTTAGCTCGACCTGAACATAATGGTTTTTCTGACTATCTGATTCGGTTTTAGGGATTGTTCTGCACGGGTTACTGATTGGATTTTGCTCCCGTAAGATCTTAACTGAGGATGAAATTACAAATTTGATTTATTCTGAAACACAGAAAACAAATGGTATGATATAACTTAGGTTACAAACAACAGGAGCTAAGTGTATTCTTTGAAGTAGAACAAAGTTAAGAGGCAAGAATTGCCTGAATGTATCACTCTTGGCTTATGGGTTCAAAAACAACCGTGGAATGCTGGGCAATGTGCAAGCTGAACTGCCCTCCTTTCTCACTGGTATCGATCCTGGCGACCCCTGGTGCAGTCTTCATGTCGAAACTCGTTACCAGTTTTGCGATCACGAGGGCTAAGATCGGTAGAGCCAAGATGATTCCCGGGCAGCTCCTTCTCCCTACACCGAAAGGCAGAAACCTGAAATCGACCTTTCCACCACCAACCACAGCCTCAGTATTACCTTCTTCCTCAAGGAACCTCTCTGGCCTAAACTCATCTGGGTTCTTCCACCATTTAGGGTTGTTGGCCAGCCACCATGCATTCACCACCACCTTAGACTCCTTTGGGATGGTGAACTCGCCGAGTTTTGCTTCCTCAAGGTTCATGTGAGGAACCAAGAGAGGAATCGGAGTGTGGAGCCTCAACGTTTCTTTGACAACAGCGTTAAGGTATGGAAGTTTCTCGAGGTTTGGTTCAGTGATTTGAGTCTTGTCTCCGTCGAAAACTTTTTTGATCTCTTGTCGTATTTTGGATTGAACAGATGGATGGTTGACGAGTTCGGCTATGGCCCATTCTATGGACCAAAGGGTTGTCTCTATTGCCGCAACATTGATGTTCTCTACGATGTATAGAACGTTCTCTTCCGAGATCTCTCCTTTCATCCTGGCTTCGATGATTTGATCCATGGCGCAACTTATCTTGTGGGTCTCCAAGTTCGCTTCCATGATCCTCCTGTTTCAGGTTTATCCACCGGTTACATCAAGCAAAGGTGTGTGTTTTCATTTGAAAAATCATCAAATACCTTCTTTTTTCGACATAGTTATTGTTGAAGAAAGCCAATCTCCTTTGCTGCAAGTCTTTGCACTTGTTTAAGTACCCTCTGAGAAGTGGTCTAAGGATAGGGATGAAATCTCCATAGTTATACTCGAAACTCTGTGCTAATCGGCTCCTCTCGGAGTTGAATTTCGTGGCTTCCACGAACAAAGGATCCTCCATGGACTCGAACTTGGCATCGAACATCATTCTATACATGATGTTATACAACATCAGTTGTAGTCTTCTCCTGACTACAATCCCTCTTGTCTTCACAGCCTCGTTTGCGGCTAAGTCCTTCACCACCAAGTCCATCTCTTCTTCCCACATTTTGCTATAGTTGTTCACAACCTGATACACTCTCACGTGTCAGTTTTTTCACACACATATACAGGGATGTACATACATACATACATAAACTGAAGCTTACCTTGTTGGTGAAGAAAGGTAAGGTCATGATCCTCCGCATCTTCCTCCAGTGCTCACCATAGACAGTGAACACCATGTCTTGGCCATTACCAGTGAATATATCGAAGACTACATTCCGTGGCCTGGACCCGAACTCAACCCCTTGTGTGTGAAGCACCTGGGTGGCTAGTTGTGGGTCAGATACAACGGTTAAGTTCTTGGACCCGAGTTTTAGGAGGAACACTGGTCCGAACTTCTCGGACAACGAGGCCAAGAACCTGTGGTTGAGATCGTTCCCGACCTGTAACCAGTTCCCCACGACAGGAAGCGGGAATGGACCGGGAGGGAGGTTTTTACCGTCCGAGTTTTTTAATGTGTTTAAGGTAAAGATTGCGATAACTGGCAATGAGAAAAGGAGTAACGTTGAGAGAGGTGAGGAAGGGTAGAATTTGGTGAGGGTGAAAACGAAGCAACAGAAGATGATGGTTTTTGTGTAGAAACGAGACATTTTTGTTTTGTGGGTTTGCTTCAAAATCATCTCTTTTGGTGTCTTGATGTGGGATCAAATCATCAAAGGGAGAGAGATGTTTGAAGGGTTTCTTTGATTTGAAACGATTTAAGGAGAGTATATATATATGGGATATATGTACATATGGATGTGAGTGGAAATGGTTGGTGAGAGAGAGATTAGGGGTTTGGTGAAGCAATTGGGGAAAACCCATGGGCTGAATTATGAATCTGGGTAGGGGGAGTCTCTGGTTTCCTTTTGTTTCTGGTAAGAGCTTGGTCAAATTTATACTACATTTTATTGTTATATTCCAAAAATTAGGAGTGGTTTAATCCGATTTCGGTTCGATTATTTCAGTTTTAGAAAAAATTATAACCGTCGAGTTTTTACATTGAATTTGGTTCGATCCGATTCAATTATATTCGGTTCGAGGTTCGGTTACGTATACATATAATTTTTTCGTTAATTTTTTATTCGATTCGGTTCAGATTTAGTTTTTCGATTTAAAAAAAAAAAGCATAACCATCCGGTTTTATATGATTATGGTATGCATTATTCTGTTTTGATCGGTTCGGTTATTCGGTTTATTAACCAAATAAATCATCCCTACCAAAAGCACTCATCTCTTTTTTTTGTTAGTATCCTTCTTTATTATCGAATAAAGAACGCATTTTCTGGTTGAAATTGCAAGAAAGAAAACCGGGGTGCTTTGACATTTTAATGGGCCCCATAGAAGGCCCGTTTATAGTTCGTTTTGCTTTTTATGGCCCAAAACAAATTTCGGTAATTACCAAATTGGTTAGAACGCTCAATGCACGCACACCACTTGCATTGGTTAGCTAAACAACTTTCTCTACCTCTTAATCTTCTTTTTTGTTTATACATAATGCAGCAAGTTTGCAACTCTATAAAAAAAATAGTTAATAGATGGATGATACTGCTGGTGAAAATTTTCAATAATATACATATATATATATATATATTAATTGCATTTTAAAATTATTTATTTCTAATAAATGGGTTTTGTTGTTTGGAACTTGGTGTGCTCTAAACTGGACCATAATGTAAAGAATATATATATTTCTAAATTGATTATAATATTAAAAAAAGAAAAATAAAATTTTCACCACTATATCAAATTTTAAATGAAAAAAAAATATTTTTTTCTCTTCCGGAGTTTATGCTCAGTAAATAGGTACTGATGCTCTTACCTTTATTTGCAATTTGTTTGTTTTTCAATGAAGTTTTAAATTGGTGAAAAATTAAAAAATCTATTTTACTACTGTGATAATTTGCGTTGCAAACGTTGGAAAGGCACGTGGCAAGATCTGAATGGATGAGCCGTATGTATATGAGAGAGAGCCAAAGGCCCAACCCAAAACCATATTATCAGAGGCGGAACATTCAATCTCTCACTCTCTCTGAATCACCCTCTGCCATTTCCCTCGTTTTCATCGAACTCTTCTTCTTCTTCTTCTTCTTCTTCTTCCTCTCTCCATCCCTCTCTCTCGAGATCGAGGAACAGGTACGAACCTCTCCTTGGATCCGATTCTAATCTTGTGTCTGTTTCGATTTTTACGATGTTTCTCTCTTCTTCCTTCCATTTATTACAATGTCGATGAGATGCCGTGGTTTTGTTTTTGTTTGTCATACAGGGGTTCCTTCGCCTCCCTGCATATGGCAATGGACGCTTCCATGATCACCAATTGCAAATCCATCGCTTCGCCTCCCGTAAGCTACTCTGTCTCTCTCTTGCATTTCTCAGGCCAAATTCTATCTCTTTTGATCTTTGGCATTTAGCTTCTGCCGTTCATTTTTTATTTGATTCACTGAGTGAAATCAAAATTGCTATGAGGCGAATCCGCTCCCTTTTTATTTCCCTTTGGGTCTTTATCCAAACTTAAGAAATTATCCCCGTACTATTTGCTACTGAATTGATTCATTTCTTTACATCGTCTTAAATTAGGATTCGAAAATCGAAGCTAGACCCTTTTCCGGAAAGACTATGTTTGAAATAGCTTTGGCTCATTGGTTGATTTTGGAATCTTTCGATCTCTAGTTCTGGATGTTCTGTCTGATAAATGCTCTTCTGAGCAGTTGGGTTTTAATGCATTAATATTGCAATTGGTTATTCACAGAATTTCTAGTAATTTTCATTATCCTTAGATCGTAGAAGCCTTGATGTATCATTTCTGGGGTTGAATTCTGATGATTCTCTTTGTATCCTATGTATGCCAGTTTCTATTCTTGGGGAGGACGGGAGGTATTAAAAGTTCTCAGTGTAACTTCACTTTGGGAAGAAGAGTTAGCTTCCCCAGTCAAAGATCTCAGACTGTTAAGGTTAGTCGGAAGGCTAAGAAGGCAGGAGGTGGGGCTCTGGCTGCTACATGCAGTGGTGATAAAATTCTAGTAGCGAATAGAGGTGAAATTGCAGTCCGTGTAATCCGAACTGCCCATGAGATGGGGATTCCTTGTGTAGCTGTCTATTCAACCATAGACAAGGATGCCCTTCATGTGAAACTGGCTGATGAAGCAGTTTGCATCGGTGAAGCTCCCAGCAGCCAATCGTAAGTTTTTTCATTTTCAAGTTGAACTTCCTTCCGTTAGTATGCATTCCATTTATGAGTTTTTATATCATAAATATGCTAGATAAACGTCCAATGTATCTGATAAGAGTCCCACATCGGTGGGAGAGAGGGAACAGTATGATCATTATTTTTAGCCATCTTGTGTCTCCTGTTAATGATTTGTTTGTTTTTTATCACTTTACATTTCCATATTGCAATTTGAGATGTTTATGTCGCAATTTCTATGAGCCATGCCGCTGTTTCTATGAGCAATGCCATTCTATATGATATGTGCTAGATTCTTGGTCAGTTTTTGCCACCTGGCGGTGAGAGAATATTTAACTCTTAATTTTGAACAATCTTCAGGTACCTGTTGATACCAAATGTTCTGTCTGCTGCTATTAGCCGTGGATGTACAATGCTTCATCCGGGATATGGTTTCCTTTCGGAGAATGCTCTCTTTGTTGAAATGTGCAGAGAGCATGGGATCAATTTTATTGGACCCAATGTAAGTTCAAAGTTTATTGTTCTGAATATAGAATTCATATTTTGTACCTGCTCTTCTTTGAATCAGTTCTGGTCTGCCTTCCTTTGTATTGGACTTTGTTAGAAATAAATCTTTAGTAACATTTATTGTTAATTTATCTTCATTGCTTTTTGCAGCCTGATAGCATCCGTGTCATGGGTGACAAATCAACTGCCAGGGAGACAATGAAGAATGCTGGTGTTCCAACTGTACCAGGAAGTGATGGATTATTACAGGTATTGTGCTAAGATTATCAGTTTAGCATTTGAAGTCGAAGCTTCTCAAAGTATCCCATGCAATTTTTCTGCATTATGATTTACTGCAGAGCACTGAAGAAGCAATAAGGGTTGCCAATGAGATTGGGTTCCCTGTAATGATCAAGGTAATCTTAATTTCTCTCTACAACATGTCCTTGAAACAAGTGTAGGAGTGGTGTTGTTCTTTTTTTTTTTTAAATGTGACAGAGACGTTGCCACAAATTTAGGACTGCTTAAATGGGATCTATCCTTATGTACATTCATCGATTTGGTCCATGTTGTGCTCTGTACTTCTGGAAAATGTTTCATTGAATCTCGAAACTCAATTCTTGCCTAAACCTTGTATGGTTTCTAGGCAACAGCTGGTGGTGGGGGACGTGGAATGCGTCTCGCTAAGGAGCCAGAGGAGTTTGTAAAGTTGCTACAGGTATGATCATCTTGACAAAATGATCCAAAAAACACCTCTTATGAATTTCAGCTGTCAAGACTGTGCATCTGGATAGATGCTTGACTAAGGACTGGTTCTACATAGTCACCTTCTCCTTCATTCATAAATTTCAGAGAAATATAATAAAAATTTCATAGAATGCTTCATTTTCTTTCTATGTTAAATTCGGAAATTAGAGGACATCCTAGCATCTCATGTTATGCACCAAGTATGAAGTATCTATTCACCCATGCACAACTGTATCTTTAATTATTGAAGGCCAGGCATTGTAGCTCTCATTGAATACAATAATGTCAACCATGCCCCTTGACTACTTTCAGCAGAAGCATCTAAATGGCCAAGCCTCGTGCTCTCTTGCTTTTCGATCAGTGGATATGCATTACTTTATCCTCTCCAAGTTTCTCTGGTTAAATTTGGTTTAATCTGTTGATCTACAGCAAGCTAAGACTGAGGCCGCTGCTGCTTTTGGCAATGATGGAGTTTATCTGGAGAAGTTTGTCCAGAATCCCAGACACATCGAGTTCCAGGTGGAGTTTCAGTGTTACTTTAAAGTTTGCTAGAGTTACTCGAAAGAGGATTCCTGTACTGTTAATGGGTTGACATCCCGATTCTTGATATGACATGGTTTTATGTCCGGGAACATGAAAGCTGTAACCCGATAACGATGTACTAATTGAATTGCTTTAGCAACACCTGCCCCATTCCTCTTTTTGCTTGGGAAAGAAGAGGGTTTTTACTAGGTCTGCTGTAGTCAGCTTTGGAGCATAACTACAGTCTATGTGAGTGAGAGCATGAATATAGTCTCCCTGGTTGTGTGTGTGTGTGAGAGAGAGAGGGAGAGCACGTTTGACCTATTGTCTATCTACATTTTTCCAAATTTTGTTTACTGGTCTTATCACGCACAAAACTGAGCTTCCTTTTTAATCGTTCTGTTGGTATGTAATAATAATGATTTCAGGTTCTTGCCGATAAATATGGCAACGTTGTGCATTTTGGTGAGCGTGACTGCAGTATCCAGGTATCATTTCTTCAGATTTCTTCACAAAACTAGTTGTCGCATGGTAGCACGAATCTAAGCATCAAAACCCTGAAAAACGGGGATATGAGGAAAAAATGATCTCTTAGTGCGCAGATCCTTTTTCTATGTTATTGGTCTTATAAATTAGCTCTTCTCAGCGGTATGATCCTCAGCACTGTTGTTTTCCTAGTAGTTACTCAAATGCAAATAGGCCAACTCTGAGTTCCCAACTTGGGAGTTTCGATGCTGCTTTTCTTTTCATTTCCTCTGTAATAGTTTTCTGGTTTATTTAGTTCTATTATATCTTCTTGTTCACAGAGACGTAACCAAAAGCTTTTGGAAGAAGCACCTTCTCCTGCATTGAGCGCTGAGTTGCGGAAAGCCATGGGTGATGCAGCAGTTGCTGCAGCAGCATCTATTGGGTACGTAGGTGTTGGTACCGTGGAATTTCTTCTGGACGAGAGAGGTTCCTTCTATTTCATGGAAATGAACACTCGGATTCAGGTTAGATTGAAAGTTACTATGGCTGCAGAATTTGTTTATAAAGCTGTGTTTACTTTTAAGGTGCCAAGTGGCTACCATTTCTTGAGTTTGATCTCAGGTTGAGCACCCTGTGACGGAAATGATTTACTCTGTTGATTTGATTGAGGAGCAAATTCGTGTTGCTATGGGAGAGAAACTTCGTTACAAACAGGTATGGCTTGTTTTGTATGTGATGAAATCTCTAATGCATCTTAAACAACCTCTTCAATGTGTCGGTAATTTCTTTACAGGAAGATATTGTGCTCAGAGGACACTCAATTGAATGCCGTATTAACGCAGAAGACCCGTTTAAAGGATTCAGACCTGGCCCTGGTATGTTTTTTCATCGTCTCTTCTCTTCCAGTTGCTTTCTTCTGCATTTGTAGAGCTAGCCAACAAAATCCCTCACATTCTGTTTACCGGAATTTTCATCAATTTTTACGTCGGTAATTTTTGTTACCTTTTCTGCATTTCCAAATCTTGAGGAATAGAATGTCGAACTGTTTGGACCAAGTTCCCGCTCGTTTTCGGTAGATGGATTTATGGATACACTATGAAGCACTTGTTTGTTGTCACTTCTAAGCATGGCTTCAATCCTTTTGCAACCAAACACTTATCTGTAATAGTTTTGTCAAATGACTCTTACTTACAAAGCTGTTGCTCTTGCAATAACAGGCAGAATAACAGCATACTTACCATCTGGAGGTCCTTTCGTTAGAATGGACAGCCATGTTTATCCCGACTATGTTGTTCCTCCAAGCTATGATTCCCTTCTTGGAAAGGTACTTATTGTCAGTTACTGATCATATCACTGTGTATGTATTTGTTGAATCAGGAATAAAAAAAGCTCTGTGGCATCATCATGGACTAACATTGTAAATCACTTTAGTTTATCGGAATCTAGGAACAAAATATAGTAGTCTGCTTGGGTTTGTGAAATACAATACAGTGTCTTGACGTTTAAGGTACAGTTATGTGGGTTTTATATGTAAAAATTCGATTTCTTTTCTTTTGTTTTAGCTCATTGTGTGGGGGCCGACAAGAGAAAAGGCTATTGAGCGGATGAAACGTGCACTAGACGACACTATTATTACAGGTATGTAGCTTTGTTTTTGATGCCTAGCTTTTGTTTATGGTTCTTGAGTTCCTTTCGAATGGTGCAGAAGAAGATGGGTTTTTTTTTTTTCTGTGGCTTTGAAATGGGGTAAAACATATCTGTGACAATCTTTTGCTTGTATTGTTCAACAGGGGTTCCCACCACAATCGATTACCACAAACTTATCCTTGACGTTGAGGTGCTTTAAATCAGCTAATTTGCTTGTTTAAAACGATCTTTTCATCGTCAAAATCGTTGATTAATCTGTGATTTCCTCTATCGGCAACAGGATTTCAGAAACGGAAAAGTTGATACGGCTTTCATTGTGAAGCACGAAGAGGAGCTAGCCGCTGTAAGTACACCCTCCCGATATCAAATTCCTGATCAGGTTTCCGGGCAACAGATGTGGATCTGTTGATTATAGCTAATGTTCAGTTCTTGGATGTGGTTCTAACGTTGGAATGTTCTGTGTGGACGCAGCCTCAGGATATCGTAGCAGTGACAAACTCAGCTGCTGCTTAGAAGCAAATGACGGGAAATGCCGTTTTTTTGGTTGTCTTTTTTGTGTTTCTGTGTCAGCATTTTGGAGAGTCTTGGAATAAAAATAGGATGTTTCTGTTTTTTTTTTTTTACATTCTCTTTGGGAACTCTAACTGGTTTTGTGTTTTGGTGAGTCTCTGATGTATTTGCGATAACATGACCATTTTTATGCTTTTTTATTTTTAATTTTATGCTTGTATCTGTCAAATGTTCAACTTCAAAAAAAAAACTGCTCATTCATGGAACCAAAGGCGATTCTCATCATTATACAGGTAATATTGATGACCAAAATTTAACCCACATGGAAAACTGGAGAATTTTCACTGGGTTTCATCAACACATTCGGACAGATTGCAGATTCAGCCAAACCCTAAACCCTAAGACACAAAATTCAACCCACCTGGAAAATTTTCACTGGGTCGGCGAAATCGTTCGGACCTCAGACTCCGACATCGGAAATCTCACGTCGGCACAGTGGGCAAGAGTTTCTCTTCCGAAGCCACTCGAACACACAGTCGCTGTGAAACACGTGGGAGCATGGCATTTGTGTCAAATCCATGTCCGAAGAACCCAGAAAATCTTGGAGACAGATGGAGCATGTCTCCGACTCCAAACCCATTTCCTTAAATCTCTTCTCATCCACCGCTCGTTCCTCCGACAGCCTCTGCAACAGATATTCAGGTGCTGCTCTTTCCGGAGACTCGGACGGCGTGACGAAGAAGATCCTCTCTTGTGTCAGTTTTGCGTGAAGGTTAATACAGAAGCTTCGAGTGCCGAAACCCATCCGCGTTGACGTCTCAGAGATCATCCCGGCTAAGTATTGGCGTGCCGGATGATTCCGAATGCGATCGCAGAGGAGATCGTAGATATGATCGGCATGATTGCAGAGGAGATCGAATGCGAAGAACTCTCTGGATGCATTCCACTTCTCGAGAATCGTTTCCTCGCCGTTTGAAAATCGAATCAGCTCCTCTATTGCGCACTCGAGAGTGAGAAAGACTCTGGTCCTCAGCCCGAGTGCCGGAGGAAGTATAAGGTCCGCAGGGGAGTAATCGACCTCGATTCTCTCTTCGATATCCATGACGACGACAAATCGAAACCCTTTTTCCCCGGAAAATCGAAACGCCCAGAAAATCAAATGCAGATGAAGGAATCAGGGAGAACTTGGAAGCAGAGAGAGAGAGAGAGAGCGTGTGAAGAATGACTGAATCGTAAAAAATGGTAAATTGGAGAAATTTTCAAGATTTGAATCGTAAAAATATGACCGTTGGGTAATTTTCCGTAACAAAAAAATGTTTAACGATTCTGGAAGGAGATGGTTCGGCGGGAAATGTGACCGTTTGGCTGTGAGAGAGAAAAATGGAAACGATCATTATCAGAGATAGAGGATGGGGACGGACACGTGCGGTCTTTGCTCGCACGTGTCTGATCTTGTTTCCTTTTTTCTACAGCTCACTTGCGCCCCATGTGATCTCACCTATTTTTTTTCTTCTAATTTCCATTTTTTTTATTTTGATCGTCTTTTGGAATCGAAACCGAAAAATGCTGTATATTTTCCGATTCGAATCGTCTAAATTTTTTAACGGTATTAATTTTAAAAAAATCGATTCGAATCAAACCGAAATTTAAAAAAACCCAAAAAATTGATTTTTTAAAAGATTTTTTAATAAAATCAGGAACCGAACCGAACTGAAATCGAATCGAGCTGAATCGAATATAATATAATAATTGATTGGTACCTATCTTTATAAAACCAAAAGAATCGAATCGAACTATTCCCGATCCGAACTTAAACCGAATATCGAAACGTCCACTCATATCCACAACTACTTCTAAACCAAATCCAAAATTCAAAGATCAGACTTTCGATATTTTTAAAATCAGTGTTTACCTGAATTTACGAATTAATTATTCGATTATCAGATATATTTACCTAATACTTAATAATATCAGAATTATTTTTGAAAATTTTCTACAAGCTACCGTATTTTATTACCTCATCATCTCCACCAAAAATTGCCAATCAAAATTTGGGACCGATACCATTAACGACTGCTAATGGGTTCTCAAATGACTCATAACAAACCGAACAGAATAAATTCCTCTAGTCGAACGGTCTCCTCCAAACCGGCAAACCCTCCATCCGAAACGGAGGTTTCCACTTCACCGTTTTTTCCACCAAGGTTGGCATCCCAAGTGCATTCCCTGAGTCTTCATCTAGACCACTAGAATTAAAGAGTTGGTAGATTCCTATATAAGGTCAAAAATTCAGTAGATGCAATGATATTATACTTTGAACCGTATTTGTCAATGAGCTTTTTGACTTTGATTTATAGTGTGACATATGATTAGTTTATTCTTGTTTTTGTTTCAAAATGATGCTATTATAATAAGATAAAAGTAGATAGTAATTTGGATTTTATTTTTATTAATGGATGGAACATTACAAGGGTAAGGGTAGAAATATTCCAGCCATAAAAAGAAGATAAAACAAAGTTTAATATTTGAAACATCATTGTTTGATCCCTACGAAATCATTTCGGGGGGCTTGGTCCTACAAAGAAGAACGAATATTTGAAAGGTTAATTTATATGAAACAAATATGAGAGAGCTTAAAGATTGAGAAATGTAATATTAATGGGAAAGTAAAATACGTACGGGAAATGAGGTGGAAGAAGGAACACCACAAGCTTTCCGACAAGTGTTGAGACATGTAGGGGGTGCGGGGATTATGCCGAAACAACGTTTTATGCATTTCATTACACAGGGAGTCTCTCCTTTCACTTCTCCTATTCCCATCATGACCATTACCATAACCATCATCATCACCATCACTATCCCCTTCATCACCCCCTTCATCTTTCTTCTAGATCTCTTTTTTTTTATTTCTCCTCACTAATCTTCTTCTTCTTGTTATTCACCCTCACTCTTTTAGTCATTTTCCATATACTACCAATCTATATATATATATAGGTAAATCTCCTTTCTTTGTCCTAAATAAGACTAGACGATAATGTTTTTTTTTTTATTTTCCTTTTTTGGTAAAAAAATTATGTACATGTTTTGGTTAGATATGTTTTGCAATTAAGGAGCTGCTGCTTTGACTTGATACGTAATTAAAAGAGTCATGTTTTGGTTGGATATGATTTGCAATTGCAATTAAAGAGTTGCATGTTTGGTTAGATATATGTTTTGCAATTAAGAACCTGCATTTTTTCCCTTTAACTGGACTTTGCATTTTCACAATGCCCTCATTTTTTTTCTTTAACTGGACTTTACCTTTATGGTCTCATAATTGTTCGTTGGATATATATATATATATATATACATATATATACTCTTTATATATGACATATATTCAATTTTATCTACAAATAAATTAAAAACTATCGAATTTATCTGTACATTTTTAGATATGTCGATAATTCTCGATACTCGAAATGCGTTGAACTTGTCCGAAAATTTAGACCTAAAAATATAGGACTAGTCAAGTTAGACCGATCAGATTTCGGATCGGACCAAAAAATCAAATAAGTTTTTTTTTTGAAAAAAAACTGATGTGGTAATGGCATAGATTTTCTGATCAATCACGTTATTGTTTTAAATTGAAAATTGTTGTTGGATTTTCAGAATATAAAAATTTGGGAGAAGTTTGTAAATTGATGTATTTTTGGGAGTTAAATTCATATATTTTTAGATAAATTTTTTTTTAGCAAATTGACATAATTATTTGGAATTTTTCAAAAAATAAAAGAGAAAGATCTATTAGATAGAATATATATACTAAACGGAAATGGAGGGATGGTACTCATGAATGAACACAATTTGCCTATTTTATAACAAAAAATAATTAGGAAATACACGTGGCAAGTTTTGAATGGACGAGAGGAGATTGGGAGCTGAGTTGGCATTCCAAAAGCCCAACCCAAAACCATATTATTAGAGGCCGAACCTTTAATCTCTCCCTCTCCCCTATTTCCTTCGTTTGTTTCATCCAACTCTTCTTCTTCTTCTTCCTCTCTCTCCCTCTCTCGATCGAGGAACAGGTACGGACCTCTCATTCTGCGTCTCTCTCATTGGATCCGATTCAAATCTTTGTTTCTGTTTCGATTTTTACGAGGTTTCTCTCTTCTTCTTCCTTCCATGAATTACAAAGTCGATGAGATGCCGTGGTTTTGTTTTTGCTTGTCATACAGGGTCAGCTTCTCGTCTCTGTTGCATATGGCAATGGACGCTTCCATGATCACCAATTGCAAATCCATCGCTTCGCCTCCCGTAAGCGACCCTGTCTATCTCTTGCATTTCTCAGTCCAAATTCTCTCTTTTGATCTTTGGCCGTTTAAGCTTCTTCCCGTTTTGTGACTCTGTTTGATGCATTAAGTGAAATCAAAATTGCTACGAGGCGAATCCTTTTCCCGTTTTTTTCCCTTTGGGTCTTTATCCAAACTTAAGGAAATATCCTCGTATTGGTTGCTAGTTGTATTGATTCCCTTTTGATCTCTAGTTCTGGACGTTCTGTCTGATAAATGCTCTTGCGGGCAGTAAACTTTAAAATGATCACATGGGTGTTGATGCATTAATATTGCAATTGGTTTTTCACAGAATTTCTAGTAATTGCCATTATCGTTGGATCGGAGAATCTTGATGCATCATTTCTGGGGTTGAATTCTGATGATTCTCTTGTATCCTATGTATTAGGAGTTCTCAGTGCAACTTCACTTTGGAAAGAAAAGTTAGCTTCCCCAGTCAAAGATCTCAGAGTGTTAAGGTTAGTCGGAAGGCTAAGACGGCTGGAGTGCAGTGGCGAACAGAGGTAAAATTGCAGTCCGTGAGATGGGGATTTCTTATGTAGCTGCCTATTCAACCAAAGAAAAGGATGCCCTTCGTGTGAAACTGGCTGATGAAGCAGTTTGCACCGGCAAGTCTCCCAGCAGCCAATCGTAAGTTTCTTTCATTTTCAATTTCAAGTTGAACTTCCTTCTGTTACTATCGTTCCATTTTATGAGTTTTCATCATTAATCTGCTAGATAAATGTCAAATATATATCATCATCATCATCTTTAACCGTCCTGTGTTTCCTTTTAGTGATTTGTTTGTTGTTGATCACTTCACATTTCCATATTGCAATTAGGGATTGTACGTCCCTAATTTATCAGCAATGTCTGGTATCCTTAGAGCCACACTTTTAGCAGGCTGATAGAGGTCAAAATATGTTTGGTCATCTAATGCCATTCTATATGATATGTGCTAGATTCTTTGTCAGTCTTCAATCTGCTACCTGGTGGTGGGAGAAGATTTAACTCTCTAGGACTGTTAAAATGTGTGATTGAATCTTGAAACTCACAATTCTCGCCTAAACCTTTTATGTTTTGGTGGTGGGGGACGTGGAATGTGTCTTGGTGAGGAGCCAGAGGAGTTTGTAAAGTTGCTGCAGGTATGATCATCTTGACAAAATGATCCAGAAACGATCCTGAAAAATGGGGATATGAGAAAAGAAAAAAAATGATCTTTGCTTAGTCCTTTTTCTATGCTATGGGGAGTTTCCATGCTGCTTTTCTTTTGATTTCCTCTGTAATATTCTGTCAAATTTTCTGGTTTATTAAGTTACATCTTCTCTTGACCACAGAGACATAACCAAAAGCTTTTGGTACTGTGGAATCTCTTTTGAACGAGAGAGGTTCCTTCTATTTCATGGGAATGAACACTAGGATTCAGGTTAGATTGAAAGCTACTATGGGAAAGTTGTTGATTAATCTGCAATTTCCTCGTAGGCAACAGGATTTCAGAAATGGGAAAGTTGATAAAGCTTTCATTGTGAAGCACGAAGAGGAGTTAGTCGCTGTAAGAACACCTTGCCTGATATCAAATTCCGGGTCTGGTTTTAACATATATATGGTCGAATCATAGTGTCATAATTTTCGAGTAACAGATGAGGATCTGTGATTCTAATTGGAACATACTGTGTGGATGCAGCCTGAGGATATCGTAGCAGTGAAATTCAGCTGCTGCTTAGAAGAAGCAAATGATGGAACTTCCCATTTTTTTGGTCAGTCTTTTATGTGTTTCTGTGTTAGCATTTTGCAGAGTCTTGGAATAAAAGTAGGACGTTTCTGTTTGTTTCTGCCTTTTTTCACATTCTGTTTGGGAACTTTGTTCGCTGGTTTTGGTGAATCATTTGGTTTAATATGCAAAAATGTTGAACATCAAAAGAGCCCTTCATTCATGGAACCAGAGAGTGACAAACTCTAAACCCTAAAAGATAATCCCTAAAAACCCAAATGCCCAAAGCCGAAGAAACACAAAATTCAACCCACATGGAAAACCGGAAAATTTTCACTGGGTTTGATCAGAGTCAACACACGAGAAGGCGACGGAATCGTTCGGACAGATTGAAGATACCTCAGACTCCGACATCGGAAATCTCACGTCGGCACAGTGGGCAGGAGTTTTGCTTCCGAAGCCACTCGAACACACAGTCGCTGTGAAACACGCGGGAGCAGGGCAGGTGGATCAAGTTCTTGTTCGAAGAACCCAGAAAATCTTGGAGACAGATGGAGCATGTCTCCGATTCCAAACCCATTTCCTTAAATCTCTTCTCATCCACCGCTCCTTCTTCCCACAGCCTCTGCAACAGATATTCAGGCGCTGCTCTTGTCAGTGCAGTGGCGAACAGAGGTGAAATTGCAGTCCGTGAGATGGGGATTTCTTATGTAGCTTCCTATTCAACCAAAGAAAAGGATGCCCTTCGTGTGAAACTGGCTGATGAAGCAGTTTGCACCGGCAAGTCTCCCAGCAGCCAATCGTAAGTTTCTTTCATTTTCAATTTCAAGTTGAACTTCCTTCTGTTACTATCGTTCCATTTTATGAGTTTTCATCATTAATCTGCTAGATAAATGTCAAATATATATCATCATCATCATCTTTAACCGTCCTGTGTTTCCTTTTAGTGATTTGTTTGTTGTTGATCACTTCACATTTCCATATTGCAATTAGGGATTGTACGTCCCTAATTTATCAGCAATGTCTGGTATCCTTAGAGCCACACTTTTAGCAGGCTGATAGAGGTCAAAATATGTTTGGTCATCTAATGCCATTCTATATGATATGTGCTAGATTCTTTGTCAGTCTTCAATCTGCTACCTGGTGGTGGGAGAAGATTTAACTCTCTAGGACTGTTAAAATGTGTGATTGAATCTTGAAACTCACAATTCTCGCCTAAACCTTTTATGTTTTGGTGGTGGGGGACGTGGAATGTGTCTCGGTGAGGAGCCAGAGGAGTTTGTAAAGTTGCTGCAGGTATGATCATCTTGACAAAATGATCCAGAAACGATCCTGAAAAATGGGGATATGAGAAAAGAAAAAAAATGATCTTTGCTTAGTCCTTTTTCTATGCTATGGGGAGTTTCCATGCTGCTTTTCTTTTGATTTCCTCTGTAATATTCTGTCAAATTTTCTGGTTTATTAAGTTACATCTTCTCTTGACCACAGAGACATAACCAAAAGCTTTTGGTACTGTGGAATCTCTTTTGAACGAGAGAGGTTCCTTCTATTTCATGGGAATGAACACTAGGATTCAGGTTAGATTGAAAGCTACTATGGGAAAGTTGTTGATTAATCTGCAATTTCCTCGTAGGCAACAGGATTTCAGAAATGGGAAAGTTGATAAAGCTTTCATTGTGAAGCACGAAGAGGAGTTAGTCGCTGTAAGAACACCTTGCCTGATATCAAATTCCGGGTCTGGTTTTAACATATATATGGTCGAATCATAGTGTCATAATTTTCGAGTAACAGATGAGGATCTGTGATTCTAATTGGAACATACTGTGTGGATGCAGCCTGAGGATATCGTAGCAGTGAAATTCAGCTGCTGCTTAGAAGAAGCAAATGATGGAACTTCCCATTTTTTTGGTCAGTCTTTTATGTGTTTCTGTGTTAGCATTTTGCAGAGTCTTGGAATAAAAGTAGGACGTTTCTGTTTGTTTCTGCCTTTTTTCACATTCTGTTTGGGAACTTTGTTCGCTGGTTTTGGTGAATCATTTGGTTTAATATGCAAAAATGTTGAACATCAAAAGAGCCCTTCATTCATGGAACCAGAGAGTGACAAACTCTAAACCCTAAAAGATAATCCCTAAAAACCCAAATGCCCAAAGCCGAAGAAACACAAAATTCAACCCACATGGAAAACCGGAAAATTTTCACTGGGTTTGATCAGAGTCAACACACGAGAAGGCGACGGAATCGTTCGGACAGATTGAAGATACCTCAGACTCCGACATCGGAAATCTCACGTCGGCACAGTGGGCAGGAGTTTTGCTTCCGAAGCCACTCGAACACACAGTCGCTGTGAAACACGTGGGAGCAGGGCAGGTGGATCAAGTTCTTGTTCGAAGAACCCAGAAAATCTTGGAGACAGATGGAGCATGTCTCCGATTCCAAACCCATTTCCTTAAATCTCTTCTCATCCACCGCTCCTTCTTCCCACAGCCTCTGCAACAGATATTCAGGCGCTGCTCTTGTCAGAGTATCGGACGGTACGAGGATCAAGATTCTCTCCTGTGTCAGTTTGGCGTGAAGGTTAATGGAGAAGCTTTGAAGGCCGAAACCCATCAGCGTTGACGCCTCAGAGATCATCCAGGCCAAGTATTCGCATGCCGGAGGATTCGGGATACGATCGCAGAGGAAATCGTAGATATGTTCGTCATGATTGCACAAGAGATCCAACTTGAATCGATCTCTGGATGCATTCCAGTTCCGGACTATGGTTTCGACACCGTTTGGGAATCGAAGCCGTTCCTCTACTTCATAGTCAAGTGTCAGAAAGACTTTGGTTCTCAGCCCAAGTCGTGGAGGAATTTGAAGCACTGCAGTAAAAAGATCTACGTTGATTCGCTCATTGATATCCATGGCGACGAGAAATTGACACCCTTTTTTCCCTGGAAAATCGAAACTGACCCAGAAAACCAAATGCGGGATGAAGAACTCAGAGAACTCGGGAGCAGAGAGATAGAGCGTGACTGACGACAGAGAAATTCGTATATATAGGAGAACGTAAAAATGGTAAAATGGAAAATTTCTCAGTATTTGGAGCGTAAAAATATGACCGTTGGGAAAATTTTCCGTGAGAAAAATGGAAACGACTCTGGAAGAAGATATGGTTCGGGCGGGAAAATGTGACCGTTTTGACTGAGAGAGAAATGGAAAGAACCAGAGAGACTGATGGAGACGGACACGTGTGCTTATTGCTCGCACGCGTGTGCTCTTGTTTCCAATTTTTTCTAAAGCTCACGTGCGCCGCATGTGATCTCACTTATTTTCCTTTTCTATTTTGTTTTTCTAATTTCCATTTTTTTTTATTGTGATCGCCGTTTGGCATCCACAACTGGGGTTTTAACCCTAATAACCCACTTGGGTCGCAGCAATTTCAGGGTACACCACCGAAAAAAAAAAATTTGCGACCTTATTACGACTAATATATAACTAATATACAACTAAAATAAGAGTAGTTTATTAGTCGTAATAAGTTGTATATTAGTTATATATTAGTCGTAATAAGGTCGCAAATTTTTTTTTTTTTTTCGGTGGTGTACACTGAAATTGCTGCGACCCAAGTGGGTTATTTGAGTAATATTCCCTCCACAACTACTTGTAAACCAAATTCAAAGATGATCAAAGATCAGATTTTCGATGTTTTGAAATCGGTATTTATTTCATAAGAATGTTTAAATTTACGAATTTTAAATATTTGATTTTCTGCCTGATACTTAATAATATCAGAATTATTTTTGAAAATTTCCTACAAGTAACAAAATTTCTAAACATACATACGTTTCCATCCTCTTGACACCAAACCCATAAAAAGAAAAAACAAAAGCATGTGTCTCATCATCATCTTCTTCTTCATCGCCACTATTACAATTTTTTTAATAATCCGAAGATCCAACTATATCTTCCAAACAATCAGAAAAATTCGAATGAATATCTCTTTCCACGCTTAGATTTAAACCCGAGATAAAAACACATTTTGCATGTTCCCACTAATCGAATCTATCGCAATTAGAGTTTACGACTTTTTGCGACGTGAACATTTTTTTTTCATATTCTATTGTGAAATCATCACATTTCGTCGCAATTTTGTATGCGACAAAAATTTTCGTCGTAAGTTTTTTTTGTTAACAGAGGACCCATATCTACTACGTTTTAGCGCGCTGACTAAACAAACCTCCGGTTCGGGATCAGCCTTTGTATATGAGTGTTAATTGATCCAAAAATTACATTCCTCTACATCAAAGAGAATCGAACATCCGACTTTCAAGTACTTTGCACCATCAAGTTGACCACCCGACCATCCATTATTGGGTTTTTTCGTCGTAAGTTCCGTCGCGATATTCAATTTTTTTAGTATTAGTGGTACCGAGTGATTCATTTTATTTTATGTTTTCGTTTCTCTCAAGAGAAAAACAAATAACTTTTGATTGTACTTTAACTAATCATCTCCACGAGAAATTGTTGATCAAAATTTGGTACCTATACCATTAACTACAGCTAATATCCGAGCTTAGAGCCTTCCAAACCCTTCGTTCGAAAAAGAGACTTCCGCTTCCCTTTTTTTTTTAATCATCAAGGTTGGCATCCCAATGCATTCAATGAATCGCCATCTAGATCACTAGAATTAGAGGCTTTGATAGATTGGTATATAAGGTCAGAAATTCAATGATATTTGTGCTTTGAGCGGTACATGTCATGTGAACTTTGCACTTTAGGGTATACAAAAATCTATCTCCTGACCAAAAGGTATACAGAAACATAGGATTGTCAAAATGGTCATCCCGAATTTCAGTATATGTGTCAAAAACCTTCCGTCGCAAAACGTAGGTTTTGTACGACGGATTATCGACCGATAAATTTTTACGACAGCGCCATGCAGACGGAAATTGTTTCGTCCCATTCCGTCGTCAATTTGTAATTGCAACAGAATTTTTATATTTACAATGAATTTTTTCGTCGCAATTTCACATTTTTCTTGTAGTGAATGGTCAACGGAGCCCGAGACAAGCTCAAAGATTTATGGTTCGGGTCAGACCGATCCGAAACATAAATGAACCTAGCCTCTATGGGCTTTTGTATGTCTTCGAGTCAAACTTCGAACTTGAACATTCGAAAAAAAAACAAATTAAACCGTATAAAAATAAACTATAAAAACATAAATCAAAGATAACCAAAAAAAAAAAATTGTAACATGTTCGATCCGACATAATGGACAAACTGGTTTTATTTTTTTAGTCCAAATCCGTAAATTTTTTGAGTAGATTCGATCAGATAACGGGTTTTGGTTTTTTTTTTACACCCCTAATTAATATATGTATAGAAAGAGATGGAAATGGAACATCGTATGTATAGAGTATTGCTATTGTGTAAACCCAGAAACGAGACCTCGTGATTTCGAATGAACACTAAGCCGAAATGAAGATGCGATCGACGTCCGGTCTTTAACAAGTTCGGTTATCGAGATAAATCTCGGACGTACGTCTCGGCCAAGGAAACTCGGCAATCCACTAGCACCGATCGAACCTACGCTTTGACAGACTCACGCAACAGATCGTGAGCTCTGCCTATCAAGAGAGTTGCAACAGAAGAAAATGGCGAAAAAGAATACAGAGTTCATCAACTCTCTCTCCTTTAAAGGAAGAAGACGAATAACAAACCTAACAAACCTTCACGCAAAATTATAACGTTGTCTTTCACTACTTAACAAAACGCTCCCGCTTTGTCTCGTAACCGATCCCAAATCAAATCAGCTTCTGGTGTGATTAAACCACCAAACCGGAAACCTCTAATCAGTGTGGAGGTTCTTATCTGAGCATCATGGAGGATAAGTATGATTTTGAAATAAAATTTCTATCATGTTGTTATTGGTAAATGATTCATTTTATTATAGATTATTTCGTTTTTTCAAAAAAAAAAACAACCTAGAATTTTTTTTTCCACATGTGAACTTTTGACTTTGATTTATATTATGATATATGATTATTTTATTCTTTGTTTTTGTTTTAAAATGATGCTATAATGAGAAAATAAGATTAGAGTGTATTTATCTAGATGATGATAGTTTGGATTTTATTTTTATTAATGGATAGAACATTACAAGGTAGGGTAAGAACATTCCAAACATAGAAAGAAGATAAAAACAGCTTTAATTTCTGAAACATCATTGTTCGATCGTTATGAAATTATTCCGGGGCGCTTGGTCCTACAAAGAAGAACGAATATTTGAAAGGTTAAGTTAGTCTATATGAAACAAATAGGAAAGAGATTAAAGATTGAGAATAATGGAAAAGTAGAAAATAAAAAATACGTACGGGAAATGAAGTGGAAGAAGGAACACCACAAGCTTTCCGACAAGTGTTGAGACATGTAGGGGGTGTGGGGATTATGCCGAAACAACGTTTTATGCATTTCATTACACATGGAGTCTCTCCTTTCACTTCTCCTATTCCCATCATGACCATGACCATAACCATCATCTTCCACCATGACCATGACCATAACCATCATCATCACCATCACCATCCCCTTCATCACCCCTTTCATCTTTCTTCTCTTTTTTTTTTCCTTATTTCTTTTCACTAATCTTCTTCTTCTTCTTCTTATTCACCCTCACACCTTTTGTCATTTGCCATATACTACCAATCTATATATAGGCAAGTCTTTTTTCTTTGTCCTAAATAAGACTAGACGATGATATTTTTTTATTTTCTATTTTTGGTAAAAAAATTATGTACATGTTTTGGTTAGATAGATTTTGCAATTAAGGAGATGCTACTTTGGTTGGATACGTAATTAAAAGAGTTGCATGTTTTGGTTGGATATCATTTGCAATTAAGGAGTTGCATGTTTGGTTAGATATGTTTTGCAATTAATAAGAACCTGCATAAATCATTTATTTTAATTAAGATAATTATTTCAACTCTAATTTAAAAATAATAAAAATAAAAAAGAATAATATATTATTATATGTATATTGAATATAATGTTTTAAAATTATTTTTTCATAGAATTTGAACTAAATAGAAAAATAAAAAAATAAAAATTAAATTTTTTCGAAAATTAATATAAAAAATGAATATAGTTATACATTTAAAAACTGAATTAAAAAACAATCAAGTCAAAGTATATTCCAGATTCAATATACATAGGAATATATTAAGTTCTCATTGTGATGTAATTTTTATTTTCTTTTTCCTTTTAAATTTACAATTTCATTTCATTATTATATTTTAATTGTAATGTTTTTAATCGGCAAAATATCCAAAATACCTTCTTTATGCTAAAACTACTTCTACACATACCCTTCTCCAGTTGTGACCTTGTGACCAGAATAATTGTATGATCACATGATGATCACATTGATCACAACGTTAAATTTTTGATGATTTTACCAAATGATTAGTGTGATATGTAAGGTGTGACCATGGTGATTTGATGTAATCATTATAAATTTAACGTTATGACCAACGTGACCATCATGTGACCATATATGAATTCTGGTCACAAGGTCACAACTGAAGAATGGTATGTGAAGAAGTAGTTTTAGCAAAAGGAGGGTATTTTGGATAATGCCCCTTTTTAATCTTACATGATTTAAGATTTGTGTAGATGTGATGTTTTTAAACTAGTTATTTTGGAGATATTTTTATTGAAAATTTTATATATAAATATTTGTTACATTATTTTTTATGATTGCATTATGATTAAAAAAATATTTTCTATTATTAAAAAATAGCACTATAAAAAATATCATCCTTTGTTATTTTGATTTCATCACATATATTTTTTCATCGGTGATCCTATGTGATCTGAAATATAATGTGATTATATATTGATCCTATTGGTGATAACAAGTTAAATTTATGATGTTTTAATCAAACCATTAGTGAAATATATAAGATATAAATATTAAATTATTAGTCTCATCATTACTAAATTTTAATGTTATCCTATTTTTGATATAATGATTATTAAAAAAGAAGAAGCCCCGAACCCACCTAGGTCGGACCTTAAGCGCATTACAGCGTGAATGCACCTCACGGAAACGGGTAAATCACACAAATATACCAAACCTGTCGCAACAATTTCACCGATACACCCAAGATGAACAGTAATTTTTTTTCTTTTCAATTTTATACCATTTTTCCACTCAAAAAGTCTGAAATAACATTTTTTCTATATTTTTTACAACTTTATTACAACTATTATATAACTAATATACGACTAAAAAAAGAAGTATTTATAACCATATAACAACTAAAAATCTTATAAGCAATAAGATGTATTTTTTGCCACCTCATTTAGAATCAATTGCAATTGTATTTAGAATGAATTGTAACTGTATTTAGAATCAATTGCGACGTTGCAATTATAATTATACGATTTCATTAAGGGTAATATGGTCTTTTTCGAAGAAAATTTAATGTGTTATATTTTTTTTTGGGTGTATCCTTGGAAATTCCTGCTACACACTGGTATATTTGTGTGATTTAACCCACGGAAACGCCGAGTGTTTCCCGGAACCAGAGAGGTTCGACCCGAGAAGATTCGAAGGAAGCGGGCCTGCGCCATATGTTCACCCACACTCGGGTATCTCTCTCTCGTTCGAGGAACAGGTACGAACCTCTCATTCCGCGTCTCTCTCCTTGGATTCGAATCCAACCTTGCGTCCGTTTCGATTTTTACGAGATTTTTCTCTTCTTCGTTCTTCCATTTATTACAATGTCGATGAGATCCCGTGGTTTTGTTTTTGTTTGTCATACAGGGTCTGCTTCTCCTCTCGGCTTGAGATCCTGTCTCTCTCTCTCTTGCATTTCTCAGTTCAATCTCTGTTTTGATCTTTGCCATTAGGTTCTGCCGTTCGTTTCGGGACTTTGTTTGATGCATTGAGTGAAATCAAAATTGCTAGAGGCGAATCCGTTTCCTGTTCCCCCCCTTTGTGTCTTATCAAAACTTGAAATGATCCCCGTTTATTTTCTAGTGTATTGATTCATTTCTTTACATCCCCTTCAAGTTTAAGATTCGGAGCCAGACACTTTTCCCGGGAAAGAGACCATGTTCGAAATAGCTTTGGCTCTAGTTATGGATGTTCTGTCTGATAAATGCTCTTGTGAGCTGTAAACTTTAAAACGATCACTTGGGTGTTAATGCATTGATGTTGCAATTGGTTATTCACAGAATTTCTAGTAATTGCCATTATCGTTGGATCGTAGAAGCCACTGGGGTTGAATTATGATGATTCTCTTGTATCTTATGTATGCCAGTTTCTTTTCTTAGGGATCCATCCTTCAAGTACATTCCTTGATTTGGTCCATGTTGGGCTCTGTACTTCTGAAAAATGTTTGATTGCATCATGAGACTCATCCTAAAACTTTTATGGTTTCTACGCTACAGATGGTGGTGGGGGACATGGAATGCGTCTCGCTAAGGAGCCATAGGAGTTTGTGAAGTTGCTACAGGTATCACCATCTCGACTAAATATGATCCAGAGATGACCTTAAATGAATTTCTATTGTCAAGACCGAGCATATGGATGGATAGATGCTTGACTGAGGGACTGGTTCTGCATTGTCATCTCCTCCATCATTTGTAAATTTCAGAATACTTCATTTTCTTTCTATGTTAAATTCGGGTATTATACATTCTAGCGCCTACCTCTTGTTATGCACCAAGTATCTAATTCACCCGTGCAGCGATGTATGTGAGTGAGAACATGACTACAGTCTCCCTGTCTAAATGTGATAGAAAGAGAGAGAGAGAGAGAGAGCTCTTTGGACCCTATTGTTTATATACATTTTTCCAAACTGTGTTACTTGGCCTATCATGCACAAAACTGAGCTTCCTCTTTAATCATTCTGCTCCTAAGTAATATAATGTCTGATTTCAGGTTCTTGCCGATATATATGGCAATGTTGTTCATTTTGGTGAGCGTGACTGCACTGCAGTATCCAGGTATCAGTTCCTCGAGATTTCTTCGCGAAACCCTGAAAAATGGTGATTATGAGAAAAGAAAAATGATCTTTGCTCAATCCTTTTTAGATGTTATTGTTCTTAAATGCAAATAAATATTCCAACTCTTGAGTTCCCAGAACTTGGGAGTTTCCATGATGCTTTTCTTTTGATCTCCTCTGTAATATTCTGTCAAATTTTCGTGTTTATTTAGCCATACTATCTTCTCTTGACCACAGAGACGTAACCAAAAGCTTCGGGTACGGTGGAGTTTCTTTTGAACGAGAGAGAATCCTTCTATTTCATGGAAATGAATTTGGGAGTTTCCATGATCCTCGACGTTTGAGGTGCTTTAATACAACTAGTTTGCGAATTGTAATCGTTCTTTCATCGTCAAAATTGTTGACTCATCTGCAATTTCCTCGTCGGTAAAAGGATTTCAGAAACGTGGAAGTTGATACGGTTTTCATTGTGAAGCACGAAGAGGAGTTAGCAGCTGCAAGTACACCCTCCCTGACATCAAATTCCGAATGTGGGTTTAATATATATATATATATGGTCGAATCATAGTGATTCTAACGTTGGAATGTTCGTGTGGGATGTGGATGCAGCCTCAAGACATCAAACTCAGCTGCTGCTTAGAAGCAAATGACGGAAAATGCCATATTTTTGGTTAAGTCCTTTTTGTGTTTCTGTGTTAGCATTTTGCAGAGTCTCTGAACAAAAATAGGATGTTTCTGTTTTTTTTACATTCGCTTTGGGAACTTTGTCCGCTGGTTTTGTTTTGATGAGTCTCTAATGTATTTGCGATAACATAACCATTTTTATGCTTTTTTATTTTTTTTACTTTTTTTTAATGATCTATTTACAGAACATAGCCATGTATGTATGCTTGTAACTGTCAAATGTTCAACATAAAAAAAAAAGACTGTTCATTAATGGAACCAAAGGCAATTCTTAAAATTTGTATACAGAGACAGTTGAACTCTAAACCCTAAAATCTCAAATGTCCAAAGCCGAAAAAACACAAAATTTAACCCACACGGAGAACTGGAAAATTTTCACTGGGTTTCATCAACACATTCGGACAGATTGCAGATTCAGCCAAACCCTAAACCCTAAACCTAAAGATAAACCCTAAAAACCCAATTTCCAAGCCGAAGAAACACAAAGTTCAACCCACCTGGAAAACTGGAAAATTTTCATTGGGTCGGCGAAATCGTTCGGACCTCAGACTCGGACATCGGAAATCTCACGTCGGCACAGTGGGCAAGAGTTTTGCTTCCGAAGCCACTCGAACACACAGTCGCTGTGAAACACGTGGGAGCACGGCATGTGGGTCAAGTTCTTGCCCGAAGAACCCAGAAAATCTTGGAGACAGATGGAGCATGTCTCCGATTCCAAACCCATTTCCTTAAATCTCTTCTCATCCACCGTTCGTTCTTCCCACAGCCTCTGCAACAGAGATTCAGGCGCTGCTCTTGTCGGAGAATCAGATGGTACGAGGATCAAGATTCTCTCTTGGGTCAGTTTGGCGTGAAGGGTGATGGAGAAGCTTCGAGTGCCGAAACCCATCCCCGCTGACGCCTCAGAGATCACCCCGGCCAAGTATTCGCATGCCGGAGGATTTGGGATACGATCGCAGAGGAAATCGCAGATATGTTCGGCGTGATTGCACAAGAGATCCAAATTGAAGCGATGTCTCGATGAATTCCAATTCCGGACTATGGTTTCGACACCGTCTGGGAATCGAAGCACTTCCTCTATTCCACAGTCAAGTGTCAGAAAGACTTTGGCTCTCAGCCCAAGTCGTGGAGGAATTTGAAGCACAGCAGTAAAAAGATCGCCCTCGATTCGCTCTTTGATATCCATTGCGAGGAGAAATCTAAACCCTTTTTTCCTGGAAAATCGAAACTGACCCAGAAAACCAAATGCGGATGAAGAACTCAGAGAGAAATTGGAAGCAGGGAGAAGGAGCGTATGACTTATGACAGAAGAATTTGCATATATAGGAGAAGGCTAAAAATGGTAAAATGGAAAATCTCTCAGCATTTCCATCATTTGTAAATTTCAGAATACTTCATTTTCTTTCTATGTTAAATTCGGGTATTATACATTCTAGCGCCTACCTCTTGTTATGCACCAAGTATCTAATTCACCCGTGCAGCGATGTATGTGAGTGAGAGCATGACTACAGTCTCCCTGTCTAAATGTGATAGAAAGAGAGAGAGAGAGAGAGAGCTCTTTGGACCCTATTGTTTATATACATTTTTCCAAACTGTGTTACTTGGCCTATCATGCACAAAACTGAGCTTCCTCTTTAATCATTCTGCTCCTAAGTAATATAATGTCTGATTTCAGGTTCTTGCCGATATATATGGCAATGTTGTTCATTTTGGTGAGCGTGACTGCACTGCAGTATCCAGGTATCAGTTCCTCGAGATTTCTTCGCGAAACCCTGAAAAATGGTGATTATGAGAAAAGAAAAATGATCTTTGCTCAATCCTTTTTAGATGTTATTGTTCTTAAATGCAAATAAATATTCCAACTCTTGAGTTCCCAGAACTTGGGAGTTTCCATGATGCTTTTCTTTTGATCTCCTCTGTAATATTCTGTCAAATTTTCGTGTTTATTTAGCCATACTATCTTCTCTTGACCACAGAGACGTAACCAAAAGCTTCGGGTACGGTGGAGTTTCTTTTGAACGAGAGAGAATCCTTCTATTTCATGGAAATGAATTTGGGAGTTTCCATGATCCTCGACGTTTGAGGTGCTTTAATACAACTAGTTTGCGAATTGTAATCGTTCTTTCATCGTCAAAATTGTTGACTCATCTGCAATTTCCTCGTCGGTAAAAGGATTTCAGAAACGTGGAAGTTGATACGGTTTTCATTGTGAAGCACGAAGAGGAGTTAGCAGCTGCAAGTACACCCTCCCTGACATCAAATTCCGAATGTGGGTTTAATATATATATATATATGGTCGAATCATAGTGATTCTAACGTTGGAATGTTCGTGTGGGATGTGGATGCAGCCTCAAGACATCAAACTCAGCTGCTGCTTAGAAGCAAATGACGGAAAATGCCATATTTTTGGTTAAGTCCTTTTTGTGTTTCTGTGTTAGCATTTTGCAGAGTCTCTGAACAAAAATAGGATGTTTCTGTTTTTTTACATTCGCTTTGGGAACTTTGTCCGCTGGTTTTGTTTTGATGAGTCTCTAATGTATTTGCAATAACATAACCATTTTTATGCTTTTTTATTTTTTTTACTTTTTTTTAATGATCTATTTACAGAACATAGCCATGTATGTATGCTTGTAACTGTCAAATGTTCAACATAAAAAAAAAAGACTGTTCATTAATGGAACCAAAGGCAATTCTTAAAATTTGTATACAGAGACAGTTGAACTCTAAACCCTAAAATCCCAAATGTCCAAAGCCGAAAAAACACAAAATTTAACCCACACGGAGAACTGGAAAATTTTCACTGGGTTTCATCAACACATTCGGACAGATTGCAGATTCAGCCAAACCCTAAACCCTAAACCTAAAGATAAACCCTAAAAACCCAATTTCCAAGCCGAAGAAACACAAAGTTCAACCCACCTGGAAAACTGGAAAATTTTCATTGGGTCGGCGAAATCGTTCGGACCTCAGACTCGGACATCGGAAATCTCACGTCGGCACAGTGGGCAAGAGTTTTGCTTCCGAAGCCACTCGAACACACAGTCGCTGTGAAACACGTGGGAGCACGGCATGTGGGTCAAGTTCTTGCCCGAAGAACCCAGAAAATCTTGGAGACAGATGGAGCATGTCTCCGATTCCAAACCCATTTCCTTAAATCTCTTCTCATCCACCGTTCGTTCTTCCCACAGCCTCTGCAACAGAGATTCAGGCGCTGCTCTTGTCGGAGAATCAGATGGTACGAGGATCAAGATTCTCTCTTGGGTCAGTTTGGCGTGAAGGGTGATGGAGAAGCTTCGAGTGCCGAAACCCATCCCCGCTGACGCCTCAGAGATCACCCCGGCCAAGTATTCGCATGCCGGAGGATTTGGGATACGATCGCAGAGGAAATCGCAGATATGTTCGGCGTGATTGCACAAGAGATCCAAATTGAAGCGATGTCTCGATGAATTCCAATTCCGGACTATGGTTTCGACACCGTCTGGGAATCGAAGCACTTCCTCTATTCCACAGTCAAGTGTCAGAAAGACTTTGGCTCTCAGCCCAAGTCGTGGAGGAATTTGAAGCACAGCAGTAAAAAGATCGCCCTCGATTCGCTCTTTGATATCCATTGCGAGGAGAAATCTAAACCCTTTTTTCCTGGAAAATCGAAACTGACCCAGAAAACCAAATGCGGATGAAGAACTCAGAGAGAAATTGGAAGCAGGGAGAAGGAGCGTATGACTTATGACAGAAGAATTTGCATATATAGGAGAAGGCTAAAAATGGTAAAATGGAAAATCTCTCAGTATTTGAATCGTAAAAATATGACCGTTGGGTAATTTTCTGTCAGAAAAATGGAAACGATTGTGGAAGGAGATATGGTTTGGCGGGAAATGTGACCGTTTTGACTGTGAGAGAAATGGAAAGAACCAGAGAGACCGAGGATGGAGACGGACACGTACGCTTCTTGCTCGCACGTGTCTGCTCTTGTTTCCATTTTTCTAAAGCTCACGTGCACCGCATATGATCTCACTTATTTTCCTTTTCTATTTTCTTTTTCTAATTTCCATTTTTCATTTTGATCGCCGTTTGGTATCCACAACTACTTGTAAACCAAATCCAAAATTCAAAGATCAGAATTTCGATGTTTTGAAATCAGTATTTATTTCTTTTTACTCACGTGAACATTTGATTTGATTTATAATGTGATATATGATTAATTTACTCTCTTTTTTGTTTTAAAAATGATGCTATAATAAGAGGATAAAAGTAGAGTGTATTTGTTAATATGAATATTCGAGGGATTAAGTAATATGAAATAAATAGGAAGGGATTAAAAATCCAACAATATAATTAATAATAATTGGAAAGTAGAAAATAAAAATACTTCCAGAGAATGGAGTAGAAGAAGGAATACTACAAGCTTTTCGACAAGTGTCGAGATATGTAGGGGTGCGGGGATTATACCGAAACAACGTTTCACGCATTTCATTACACAGAGAATCTCTCCTTTCACTTATCCTACTCCCACCATGACCATGACCATAACCATCATCATCACCACGACCATCCCATCCCCTTCATCACCCCCTTCATCTCTCTTCTCTTTTTTTTTTTTTAAATCACTAATCTTCTTCTTCTTCTTTTCTTCTTCTTGTTATTCACCCTCACACTTTTAGGCATTTGCCATATACTACCAATCTATATATATATATATATATATATAGGTTAGTCTCCTTTCTTTCCTAAATAAGACTAGATGATGATGTTTTTTTGTTGTTGTTAAAATATATCTGCATGTTTTGGTTGGATAAGTTTTGCAATTAAGGAGCGGCTTCTTTGTGTGGATACGTTTGCATGCAATTAAGGAGCTGCATGTTCGATTGGGTATGTTTTGCATGCAATTATAGGCATGCACGTTTTGGTTAGATATGTTTTGCAAATTTGCAATTAAGGACCTACATTTTGGAAATCCTTTTTTTTAATATCTTATTGATTTGAAAATGTGGCAAATTTTTTATAACACATTACCCAACAAATAAACGAAGCCAAGCCGTATGATGGGCCTCATCTCATGCACAGTTCTATTAATAAAGTCTAATGTTGGATTACTCGTTACAATATTATATATTCTTTTGCCTTTATTAAGATCCAAACAGACATATTTCATCTTGGAATATGGGGCGGGACTTTGAGTCGTGCGTGACATGTGATCATTTTCCCAAATACAAAATAGTTAGGTGAATTAATTATAGCGGATGGCGAATTAATTTAATTTAATGGCAACCATAGTACACCACGTACGTCAAAGGCGGTCCATTCACCATGCACCATCAAATGAGTATCCGTATGGCAAAATATTTTAAGTGGTCCAATTGAAGATTAACACATGGTACCTATTAATTAACTTGTCTTGATCCATAAGTAAATAAAAAATTACCGGATGTATCTGTGTGTGTTGATCCCTGTACGTACCACATCGGTTTTCTTAGGTTGTATTTGTGGCGGGAATGCTACTAACGGAAGGAAGTGAACCTTTTTTTACGCAATTTCGTCACTAATTAAATTTTATCACTATTAATGACGCGTCTGCGTCACCAATTTAGTGACGAATGATTTTGCGTCACTATTCTGATTTTTGGGTCAAAGACGGTCAGTCATCATGCATCATCAAATGATGCATTATCTTGAGTACGGAATTTGATTAGCACAAATAACAATAAATATCTGGGTAGGTTTTTATCTCATCTACCAAAGGGATATAATAAAAAAAAAAATAGTAATAAAACGAAGATTTCAATGCCTATAAATATTTCCATCTTCCTAAAACCAAACCCACAAAAAGAAAAGAAAAACAAAAGTATGTATCTCTTCATCATCTTCATCGCCAACATTACATTGTTTGCCCTAATTTTCATTTTCTACAAACATTTGTCCCATTTCTCTTATCCAAACCTTCCACCTGGCAACATCGGCTTCCCCTTCCTCGGAGAAACCCTCTCTTTCCTCTCCTCCGGCCGCCCGGAAAAGTTCGTCTCCGACCGAGTCCGCCGCTTCTCCTCCGCCGTGTTCAAGACGCACATTGTCGGATCTCCGGCAGCAGTCGTGTCCGGTTCCCTGGGGAACAAGTTTCTGTTCACTAACGAAGACAAGTTGGTGGTTTCATGGTGGCCCGATTCGGTCAACAAGATATTTCCCTCTTCGATGAAGACGAGCTCCATTGAAGAGGCGAAGAACCTTCGGAACCTTCTCCCTCAGTTCTTGAAACCCGAGGCTTTGCAGAGTTACGTCGGTGTTATGGATGAGATTGCTCGTAGACATTTCGATGAAGAGTGGGCCAATAAAGATCGAGTTCTTGTCCATCTCCTCACCAAAAGGCATACATACATACATACATACATACATACATACATACATACATACATACATACATACATACATACATACATACATACATACATACATACATACATACATACATACTCACGTTGGTTATGTCAAACTTCGAAATCTGATATTTCACTATCACAAAAAACTATTACAGATTCACGTTTCGGCTAGCTTGTCGCCTGTTCTTAAACATCGAAGATCAAGACAAGGTAGAGAAACTAGGGGAACCCTTTAATCTAATCGGGTCGGGGATTTTCTCAGTCCCCATAGATTTTCCCGGAACACCGTATAACCGAGCCATCAAGGCCGCGAAATTGGTCAGAAAAGAGCTCATTGAGATCATACGGAGTCAGATGAGAATCGATCCAACGGTGGGGAAAGCATCGTCGAATCAGGATTTTCTGTCGCATATGCTGAGTCTGAGCGATGCCAAAGAAGAAGACGTAGCAGACAAGATCCTCGGACTGTTGATCGCAGGACATGACACAGCAAGTACAGTATGTACCTTCATCGTCAAGTACCTTGCAGAGCTTCCTCATGTCTACGAACTTGTCTTGCACGGTACGTAAAGTACCCTACTCTTTCATTTTTGGTTTCGAAACAATATAATGGTTAACGTACCAATTAAGTTTGATAATATATGTACATTTTCTGTCACGCATTTGAGATAAACTGCATGCTTTGGACAACTGATGAATATATATTTTGAGAAATGGTTATATATATATACATGTATTAATTATATATAATACTTTTATTTGACCGGTGAAATCATACATAAGATTTTATCCATCTAACAAAGATTTGGCGGTCGCATTTTTATATTATATAATTTGTTATCTCCTATAAGAAACATATACGCAACATCCATGCATTGCATGATATTTTCTTTTCCTTATATGTTCCCTAAACTCTCTACACCATTCAATTAATAAGATCAATATTTACACACTATGCAATTAATTAGGTCTTCTTCTCACGATTTGACAATGACTCCATATCCGCCATCGATATAAAAGTGGAGAACCCTAATCTTGGAGAGTAGGGTTTCAAAATTTGATTGGGATCGAGCTCTCTCGTATTTCAAGAAAAATATGGTTTCTTCAATATATGGATTTAGGGTTTAGGGTTTTAGCATTGAACATATATATATAGAAATATTATAATGATGGTATACGAATGAAAACAGAACAAATGGAGATAGAGAAGGAGAAAGGGAGAGGGGAGTTGTTGAAATGGGAAGATATAAAGAAGATGAAATATTCATGGAATGTTGCATGTGAAGTTATGAGGCTAACTCCTCCTGTCCCCGGCGCCTTCCGTCAAGCCATCCACCCCTTCTCCTTCGACGGCTTCTTCATCCCCAAGGGATGGAAAGTACGATCTCTCTCTCTCCGTCAATTAATATGACTTTTGGCCCACATATAATTATCGGAAATAATCCAATAAAGACATGATCATGGCGTCCGTTTTTTTCTTTTCTTTTTCTTTCTGATTGAAGTTGTACTGGAGCGCGAATGCGACTCACAGGAACCCCGAGTATTTTCCGGAACCAGAGAGGTTCGAGCCGAGAAGATTCGAAGGAAACGGGCCTGCGCCATACACGTACATTCCATTCGGGGGAGGGCCGAGGATGTGTCCCGGAAAAGAGTATGCTCGGCTCGAGATTCTCGTCTTCATCCACAACCTTGTCAAGAGATTCCGTTGGGAAAAAGTTTTCCCCCATGAGAATACAGTCTTCAATCCTTTTCCCTTTCCTTCCAATGGTCTCCCTATTCGGATTTTCCCTTACTCTTCTTGAAATATCAAACAAAAAAAAAAATCTTTGTAGTAACAAAGATTGTTATGTCCTTATGTCTTGTTTTGTGTGTTTTCAAAGTGTTGTATTCATTTGGTTTATAATCATACATACATTATTAGAATATTCAAAAATAAATTATTCGTACAAAATTGTTCCCGTTTATAATCATACATACATTATTATTGTTCCCGTTTCTAATTTTTTCTGGATTTTGCTGTTTCAATAAAATTGTGTTGAAATGTTATTATTTTTCGATTTCTAATATTATGCGATTGGTGAGATAAGGAATAAGATTACATAATGGAGAAATGCAGAATAATGATTTTGAATGAGATTGATTGAGATATGTCGATCAACACGAGATGAGAACCATTTTCTTTGAATTCTTATGGTCCCACTTTTCATTTGATATTTTTCAGTGTCTCTATTTGTTTTTCAAATTAATTTTCATCTAATTTTTGTTGCAAGAGTAAAAATTTTAATTTCAAATACTTTTTTAGAGTATATATATATATCAAACATTAATAGGCATATTGATTCAGGGTTTTTAGATATTTTTTATATTTTTTTGGTGAATATTTTTTTTTTATGTGTCTAAAACTTCAAAAAGAAACTTAATATATTTTTGTTTGTACCCACGACATGTGGTATTTATGGAAAAATATTGAAATTAAAGTTAGTTGATTAAAATTTGGTTATCAATATATAATATTTAAACTTTATAAATTTATATGAACTATAATTATGAAAACTTCAGATATAATCTATATAATACCGAATCTGAGAAAAATTTATCACACCGAACTTAAGAGAAATTTCTAATTCTATGTATTAAAGAAAACTCTATATTTTAATAGTTATGTCTAATAAAATAACTAAGTAAATCAAATAGGGTTTGATCAATAATTTTATACAGATATAGTTATTTAATAAAAAATATTATAAATATGATATTTTGTTTCGATCTTAGTTTTTTCTTCTCTTTTTTTTAGAGGAGATCCGTAGGAGGCGAAATTCCCCTCATTTAAATTAATTCAAGAGCCTAGCGATATAAAGTAGGAAAAATATAAACAAAATGTATTTTTATTTTGTATTTTGTCGTAATTTAAACTCTACATTTTTTGAGGAAAACTGCAACCTAGTGGTTAGTGATAATTCAATAACTAGAGGTGGAGAGTTCGAACCTTCCCCTTGAATCGGTCAGTTTTGGTTGGTTTACCTACTCTACATGATTTTACCGACTATTACGTGGGATCGTGTGGATTTTATTATTCGCGATGTCTTATCATTCGTCCGGCTCTTGGAGCTGGGTGGGGCGTTTCGGTTCGGTACTTCGGAACCGAACCGAACTTAACCGAAAAAACGGTATTTTTTCCGATCCAAAACAGTTCTCAATTCCCGAACGGTATTATTTTTAAAGAACCGAATTTTTCTAGAACCGAACCGAATCGAACCGAACTTTAAAAAATCCCGAAAAACCGAAAATTTTTAAAGAAAATCTATCTTTTTTTAATAAAATCCGGAACCGAGCCAAACTGATACCGAAACTAAATCGAACTGAAGATAATATAAAAAAAACTAATTTGTACCTATTTTTGCAAAACCGAAAAAACCGAACCGATCTATTCCTGTCCCGAACCCGAACCGTTTTCCAAAATGTCCACCCCTACTTAGGGTTGTGAGGCATTGCGGAGTCCGATTCAAAGAAGCGAGGGCGAGTTTCCAAACGTTAAAAAAAGAACTCTATACTTTTTTTACAATTAAATTTTTTTCCAAAAAATTCATATATTTTATATATTGTGACAATTTAAACCCTATATTTTTTTTTATCTTGTACAAATAAATTCTTTCCGAAAATTTGATTTACTTTCCATAATATAGATAAAATAATACCCCGTAAAAATTCGATAATATGAATCCCAAATGGCCAAATATAATTCTATGGGTTTTTGATATTCTCCCAAATACACTTCTTGTGTTATTCTCCCAATCCAACTGATACAGTATTTTAATAAAGTACCTTTAATCATGTTACCTCATGTGCCTTTTGTCCATTTATAGTTTTGGAGAATTTTGAGTACACCATCTTTATGAATTTCCCCCCGTAAAAACTAATAAAAGAAAAGAAATAAATTATCACTTTTCCTTATTTACAATTTAAACCCTAAATTTATATTAATCGCCCAAAAATTTGACAATAAAAAAAGGATAAACAAGTGGAGATAATGAAAATGATCTAGATATGGAATTCAACATGAAACCATTACAAACCATACATAGTTGTAGACCCCACAAAAGACACCAAAATCTATATATATATATATATATATTGCCATTAGCAAAAGATCAATCATTTTCTAAGATGCATATCACAATAATTGTACCCACCCAACACCCACCCACCTTTTATTTTCCTTTCTACAATTCCAAATTACTTTAAAACCATCATTTAATAATAATAATAATAATAACATATTTTTTTGTGTATATCCTGAGATGAAAGAATCACTAACTTTTTTTGTGCTTTCAAATATTAAGTGAAACTTTATGAAAATATAATTAAAAAATAGAGTTTCTTGAATCATGGTTAGCTTTTGCAATTCTGTCAGATTTTTTGAACTTTTAGGTCAGATTCTTCCACTTGTAATGAAATCTCAACATGTGAGACTGCATGTGTAACTGAAATACTTTTTTTTTTTTTTGGTAAAGATAACTGAAATACTTAGGGAAAAAAAGAGATAAAAAAAGACTTTTTTTTATAAAAAAATTAATTCCAAATATCCATTCTACAATAAGGGCAATGCACATTTTGGTCCAACCAAGGCACTAGGCATTTAGAATGAAACTTATGAGCACATGGTAAGTGTACCAATGTCTCACCGGTCTTGAACCGGTCTAGACATATGGCACAATCTTGCTGATCGCCGGCTCTCCACCCGAACCAGCCGGCGATCAGC